GGTTAGGATTTGGATAGGTATACTCACCTAGTTGGGGTTACGGAGGTTGAAGTACAGCTCTTGGCACTGCCTCTTCATTCCAATCTTTCTCACATTCTAATCTCAACACGGTTTTACAGAGAAGTGTTCTTGCTTTACGAATTTACTTTCTCACAAAAATATTTGAAGCAGTTTACCTGGAGTTTGCCTGGAGAGAGTTTCGGGGGTCAACGCCCCCGCGGCCCGGTCTGTGACCAGGCCTCTTGGTGGATCAGGGCCTGATCAACAAAGCTGTTACTGCTGGCTGCACGCAATCCAACGTACGAACCACAGCCCGGCTGGTCAGGTACCAACTTTAGGTGCTTGTCCAGTGCCTGCTTGAAGACAGCCAGGGGTCCATTGGTAATCCCCCTTATGTATGCTGGGAGGCAGTTGAACAGTAGATGCTATTGATACAATGTTATGGTCCTTGAAGGTGAGATCCTCCGACATGATCACTCTCAAATTCAAATTCAAAGTTTATTCTCTATAAAGATTACAATGTTGAATTTACAGAATTTGATTGTTGTGTGGTTTACATGTAGTTAAATAATGATTACAGAGTGTACCACTAGAACGCCTAGCATGGCTAGGCATTTCGGGCAGACTTAGTTTAATTCTTTATTTTATTTTTTTTTATTATTATCACACTGGCCGATTCCCACCAAGGCAGGGTGGCCCGAAAAAGAAAAACTTTCACCATCATTCACTCCATCACTGTCTTGCCAGAAGGGTGCTTTACACTACAGTTTTTAAACTGCAACATTAACACCCCTCCTTCAGAGTGCAGGCACTGTACTTCCCATCTCCAGGACTCAAGTCTTTATTTTAAAATATTACAAATTATGAGGTAAGTTGGTATTATGGCTAAGTGACTAAATACTAGTTTGTGAGTTTAGCAATGTGAATGCTTTTGTTTTGGCACAGTACATAGTTTCAGTATTGGAGTATCATAGGATTCATTATTTTAAGATTGAGATTAATATTTCTGTTTATGGTCAAATGGGTGAGCGAGTGTAAGTGTGAACCACCAGGTGGTATTCGTGTAGTTAGTTGATGGGGTTTATCAGGGAGATAAGATGTTTTCTAATGGTAGTTTTGAAGGTGATGAATGTGTCTGCAGTTCTAGAGTTCTCAGGTAGGGTGTTCCAGATTTTAGGGCCTTTGACATACATTGAATTTTTGTAAAGGTTTAGTCGGACATGGGGAATGTCGTAGAGATGTTTGTGTCTGGTGTTATACCTGTGGGTTCTGTCACAACTATCAAGAAAGCGTTTTAGGTCAAGGTTGATATTGGAGTTTAAGGTCCTGTAGATGTAGATTGCACAGTAGTAAGTGTGGATGTACTGAACAGGGAGTAAGTTTAGATCTATGAAGAGTGGGGGGGGGGTGTTGCCAGGGATGGGATTTAGTGATTATTCTTACTGCAGCTTTTTGTTGGGTTATTATTGGCTTTAGGTGTGTTGCTGCAGTTGATCCCCAAGCACAAATAGCATAGGTGAGGTATGGATAAATAAGTGAGTGGTATAGTGTGAGAAGGACATTTTGCGGCACGTAGTATCGTATCTTGGAGAGGATCCCAACTGTTTTGGATACTTTTTTGGTTGTGTTGGATATGGGTGCAGAAATTCAGGTTGTTGTCAAGGTATAGGCCTAGGAATTTGCCCTCATTGTTATGCTATGTCTCAGGTCTTTGACGTTAGTTTTTTCGCTCTGTTGTGTGGTTGGAATTTGTTTTATACACTGATGAAGTTTTAATTTCCTCACGTTTACCATATCGGAGTAATTGAAATTTCTCATCGTTGAATTTCATATTGTTTTCTGCAGCCCATTGAAAGATTTGGTAGTAGGCCAAGATAAAATACGATATTTTGTATAGGGACTTGAGGAAGGCCTTTGATACAGTTCCACAAAGAAGACTGACTGGGAAACTAGCGGCACATGGTAAAATAGAAGAAATTTATATCCTAGGTCGAGGCATGGTTGACCGATGCCACGAGTTTGTATTGGGAGACATCACAGGTCAGTGTTGGATCCCATGTTATTGACAATCTATATAAACGACATGGACGAGGGAATAAATAGCAACATAAATAAGTTTGCAGATAACATTAACATAACTCACGAAATCGTAATGACACGATTGCAAACAAACCATACCACGGGCGGGATTGAACCCGCGGTCAGAGAGTCTGAGACTCTCTGACCACGGGTTCAATCCCGCCCGTGGTATGGTTTTTTTTAACATTAACATAGACCGTCAAATATCTGATGACACTAGAAACCTACAGGATGTCCACAACATCAGTCTGAATAGGTTGATGTAGACAAAATGGGAGATTAAGTTCATTGTAGACGAGTTTAAAGTTCTAATCCTAACAAAAACAAAAAAACAAACAAACAAACAAACACTTATAAGCTAAATAATGTAGATCATAGCTAAAGTTTAAAGTGAGAAAGATTTAAGAGTTCTGGTTAGCAGAAATTTAAGGCTAAGTGTTGGCAATAAGGCTGGAGTTCACCTGGAGGCTGATAGAATTCATGGCCTCGCATCGAAAGGTATAAATAATAAAAGTCCAAAGGGTTAGACCTCGTTTATATTAATCTGCTCGGTTCTGGTCTCCATATTATAAAATCTACCTGAAGGATATTCCGGGGATCAACGCCCCCGCGGCCTGGTCCACGACCAGGCCTTCCGGTGGATCAGGGCCTGATCAACCAGGCTATTACTGCTGGCCTCACGTAGTCCAACGTACGAACCACAGCCCGGCTGATCCGGCACCGACTTAAAGTATCTGTCCATCTCCCTCTTGATGGCAGCCATGGGCCTATTGGTAATTCCCCCTTATGCATGGTGGGAGGCTGTTGAACAGTCTTGGACCCCGGACACTTATGGTGCTTTCTCTTAGTGTACCAATGGCGCCCCTACTTTTCATTGGGGTATTTTGCACCGCCTGCCCAGTCTTTTACTTTCGTAGGGAGTGATTTGTGTGTGCAGAAGGGACATAAATGCGCTTGAACATACCATAAACAAAGAAGGATGATGAAACTGACACCTTTCCTACGAAGGTAGACTGAGGGTACTAAATTTGCATTCTCTGAAAAAGCATAGAATTAGGGAAGATATGATAAATGTGTACAAATAAAAAAAAGAGAAATAAAGGGGATATAAATAATGTTGAAAATATCTAACCAAGACAGGACTTACAGCAATAGGTTCAGGTTGACGAAATTTTAGATTTAGAAAAGATATAGGCAGTACACCCCTCAAGGTAGGTTCCTTGATGCCGGTGAGAGGCTCTTGATCTACGGAATTGGATCTGTGCTTCACTTCCCAAAATTAAGCCTGAATGCCTTCCATCCTCCCCCACAGCCCCTCAAGGGAGGTTCTTAATGCTGGTGAGGGGCTCTTGATCTAGGGAATTGGATCTGTGTTCCGGTTCCCTGAATACCTTCTATCCTCCCCACATGCGCTGTATAATCCTACGGGTTTAGTGCTCTCCCATAATTATAATAATCCTCCCCCACAGGCGCTGTGTAATCCTTACGGGTTTAGCGCTCCCCATAATACTATAGGAAGTACTGGTTTGGCAGTAGAGTTGTAGACGAGTGCAACAAACTCTCGGGTAGTGTCATTGAGACAAGAATTTTGAGTAGATTTATATATTGGACGGGTACATGAGTGGATGTAAGTTGGATCTGCCCAGCATGGGCCAGTAGGCTTGCCGTACTGCAGTTTTCCTTCGTTCTTGTGTTCCTAGCCTCCTGGGACATACAGTAGCTGTATTGAAGCTACTTACAGAGTCAGCCTACACACTTTGTCATCCAGTTCATTACACTTTCTAACCACTTGACATTTAGATGTATTTAGGTCGCTGCGTTATCCGAGAAAGGTATCCTCGTATAGCATAACCCGACCGATAGGAACAGTGCAGGGTGCGGCATAAGTTTCTCATGCCGTTAAATATTATCATGCCAGTTTTAAAGTGAATCAGAAGAGGTATTTACAAGTTATCATGTATACACTAATATCCCAATTTTTTCAGTAAAACTGCTATATTAGGACACAGCTCAAAACCCTCTACTAAGAAATACCATCTTTGACGGAAAACTGAAAAAGCATTCTCATGTTATGTCTTAAAATACACCAGCACATTATGTTTGAATCTGCGGAGAATTTGCATTATCAAGTTATCAGCGATGAAGGATTGAAGCCAATCTGTCGACAGGGAATTATCGAATAATAGTCAGTACCTCAGTTTTCCCAGTTTCTTTAATTAAAGAGGTATTTAGGGGCCTACACGGGCCAAAGTCAATCCAAACTTTTCCCTACGTCAGACTGACCAGCATTTAAGGTTCAAGTAAATTAACAATTAAGCAAACGGTTTCTACTTAGCTTTGGGTATGTAACATTAGCTTTAAATGATATTGCTGTATAATCCTCCGGGTTTAGCGCTTCCCCCTTGATTGTAATAATAATAATTTAAATGATATTGAAGCCACACATGTTCAGGTGGCCCACTTACATAGGATAGCTACTTACAGCAGCTTAGAATACTATTTTACCAACTAGTAGCTTTTCTAATGAACTCATTTTAAACAAACCGTCGACACAAACTTTTTTTTTTTTTTTTTTTTTTTTTTTTTTTGCATAATTTTTATCAGGTGACGCAGCGCTGTGTAGCCCTTGTGGTTTAGCGCTTCTTTTTTGTAATAATAATCTATCAGGTGACACATTTCTCTCTTCAAACCTTTGTATTTGTAGGGGAGGTGCCAGAATTTCTGTACAGGGGGTGGGGGGGAGGGACTAGGGGTGGTTGTCTGATTGGAAGGGGAGGGGGCTGGGAGACTTGCTTTGAAGCATCGTTATTATTATTGTTTGTTTGGTCAGGCTAAGGGAATTTTGGGGGCTTCAGCTCCCCAAGACCCCATTGCAGTGCAGTGCTCTTTTATTCTTATGCTTCTAAATTATTACATTGCAGCCACCACGTCGGGTGGAGAACTGGTACAGCACCTGGCAGGCCATAGACTTTCAGAGTGCCTGTCCCCAGAACCTCAAGTATGTGGGAGCCTCCAATGGGATCAGGAACGGCATTCATGAAGATTGTCTATATCTTAATATCTTCACACCCTCGGTGGGTATACCAACTTTTCCTGTTCTATACATACTTCTTTTACACAACCATTAGCTCTAAGAACATGCTACTTCAGCTGTAAAACATTCAAATTCAAAGTTTATTCTCTATAGGGATTACAATGCTGAGTTTACAGAATTTGGTTATTGTGTGGTTTACATGTAGTAAAATAATGATTACAGAGTGTACCACTAGAACACCTAGCATGGCTAGGCATTTCGGGCAGACATGGCACACTTTCACCTTAAGCAGACATAATATTCTTAGAACTACTGTAGAACATGCAATATCCTCATCTCAAGATTAAACAACACTCTTCTTTAGGAAATGACATACTTTCATTTCTCTAACATATGTAGACTAAGGGCATTGGCACTGAATTAACTATTTTACCATAGATTATTATTGCATGATGTATTAGTTTGCTCATTTGCAATATAGAATAGGCTATCATTGTAGATTATCAGCATAGAAAGCATCAGAGTATAGATTATCAGTGAAGATCGTTACTGTAGACACTTTCAGTATGAATCATACGAAATTAGACTTTACATTCAGTGTAAAATATATTGCCTTAATTCTTGAACCCGTGTGTATATATGTCTGATTGTGCATGCACAGGTATCCATCAACATAAATGACCTGTATCCGGTAATGTTCTATATCCATGGCGGAGACCTTGACCATGGTGCTAGCAACCAGTTTCCAGGACACATGTTGGCTGCCTGGGGCGAAGTGGTTGTTGTCACCATCAACTACAGACTAGGTGCCCTCGGTGAGTCCCAAATTTGGTTGTAAACTTTCTACATTATAGTAACATACTTTATTTGATGCTGTAACCTCATGTGGGTCATTTAGCACGTGGGGTGAAGGCTTGATCCTCCATCTACTAACCATGAGATTCTACCAAACTGTACTTGCAAGGGAGCACTGATGATCAGCTCACTTCCAGTAAGCTCATGAGTGGCCGCATGCCTAGCAAGTCTTAAGATCAGTCATGCACAGATAGCCTATTGACTATATTCCATTGCTTGCACCCTTCAAATGGGTGAAGGGCTGTTGAAAGACTCTTCAAAAGAGGCAATTAAAATGCTGGGAGGAAGGGGCTAGTAACCCCGTTTCCTGTATAAATTACTAAATGTACAAAGAAAACTTAAGTTTTTCTTTTTAGGCCACCCTTCCTCGGTGGGATACAGCCAGTTCGTTGAAATAAAAATAAAGAAGTTTGAAATTAAAAGTAGTATAGTAAAGGATTGCTTTGTTTACATATATATGGTAGCTTGTCAGGCTCACAGTTGCAACTTCTTTTGTGTTACAGTAAGTACAGTATTGTATTAATTTATAGTATGTTTTCTTTTGGATGACCCACTTGTAATGCAACCCACTCAAGCTTTTAAATACTGAGCTGTATTTTTTAAATATAGGTTAGTACTGTAATAGAGAAACTTGTGTAGTAACATATTGTATAATGTAATATACTATTGAGGTATGTCTTTAACATCTGTATGACCTCAGAACTATTGTACAAATTTATCCTTGTATATAAAATCTTTTCTAAATATCCTGAAACTATTTTATCCAAATGATTACAATTCAGTATGTTTTTGATGTATACCTTTTATTAACCAAAATTTAATTTACAAAAAAATAATTTTTACACAGACTGCTTAAAAACTAGTTGTCTATTAACAACAACTTACTTTGACAGGATTCCTGAGCACAGGAGATGTCAATTCACCTGGTAACTATGGTCTAATGGACATGGCCATGGCATTAGAGTGGGTTCACACCAACATCCGGTTTTTCAATGGAGATCGCAATAAGATAACTGTATTTGGTCCAGGAGCTGGAGGTGCCATGGCTGGCTTACTTGCTGTACTGCCTAAGACCAAGGCCTTAGTCAGTCAGGTTATATCCCAGGTTAGTATTTAATTTTGTTTTATCAGTACAGTACAGTGATTTGTTCTGATGTGATTGCATAAGACTATGACATACTATATTACACATCACCAAAGGATGTTTTGTTTTGAGATTTATGATAAAAAAAAATTATAGTAAATGAGATATTGCATGACAGAAAGCAGTAAGCACCACCATGGCCAAAATCTGCGATCATGAATGAATTGATTCTTTAATGTCTCGTCTGTGGGACAGTGTAGATATTGTCTTAACCATCTGTGAGTAAGGCTCAGATCCCCATAACAAAGTATGGTAAGTTAAGCTTCATAGCTCCAATCTCCTCCATGCCTGCATTTTTCTCCATTGTTTGAATTTTTACTTGACTCTTTTCTGCCGTGCAATGCCTCATATGTACAATACCTGTATGTGTATTTATTCTGTGAAGCATCATATGAAGATGTTTTGCTGTCAGTGTTACACTTAATTTTTTTCTCCAGCACTTAATGACCATTATGGTTTTACCAGTTTTTTAAATGTATTGATTATTGTAATAATGCAGTAATAATAATTTTTTCAGAGTGGATCTCCTCTCGCAGATTGGGCAGCACTCGATGATGTATATAGAGTTCAGAATACCTCTCGTGTTTATGGTTTGGAAGTTGGCTGTACAGTTGAGTCATCCTACAAACTTCTGCAGTGTCTAAACCGTCGCAGCTATGAAGAATTGGCATCAGCACCCATCACTGTATGTTTCTTACATCAGATAACTTTAGGAACACAAAAATTTAAGTCTTTTCTAAAATATGATTATAACTTTGTATTTATTCTACTGGTAGTGATGGTAATTCCACATATATATGATTTTGAATACAGTACTGTATATTTATTTGCATTAGAAATACATCCATATACAGTACTTTACACACACACACAAAAGTTAATCTTACTGTTGTGTATCATTCTTGCTGCAGCCAGATGTAGGCACTTTTGCTTGGGGTCCTGCAGTTGATGTTAACTTCACAGTCCCTGGAGATGATTGGTACTTGGACTGGAAGGAGAAAGATTGGCACATTCTACCAGAACTGCCATTGACATTGTATAAAAAAAATCACCATCATCCACAGTTGCGCTACCTTACTGGGGTCAACAGGGATGCAGCAGCCAGCATGGTTTGTAAGTAGTGTACCCACAATTATCTATACTCTTATTATAGGATTGTTACAGTAACTCTAAAATTCAGTGCCATAACAGTTGAGTAATGTCTGGACATACTATATGAAAGGCAGTAAGTACATTCATAAGCAAATGTACTGGGCAGAATGTCCATATGTGAATTGAAGATGAGAACAAATTCAAACATTTATTTTGAATATTTATCTATAGTACTAAAAAGTGTGAATATTCAGTAGTTTGTTGGATTATGTATTGGTAGATAAAAGACTGTTGAGTAGACTTCAGGATGTACATGTTTATAGAGGGGCCACAGATATATCAGATCACTTTCTAGTTGTAGCTACACTGAGAGTAAAAGGTAGATGGGATACAAGGAGAATAGAAGCATCAGGGAAGAGAGAGGTGAAGGTTTATAAACTAAAAGAGGAGGCAGTTAGGGTAAGATATAAACAGCTATTGGAGGATAGATGGGCTAATGAGAGCATAGGCAATGGGGTCGAAGAGGTATGGGGTAGGTTTAAAAAATGTAGTGTTAGAGTGTTCAGCAGAAGTTTGTGGTTACAGGAAAGTGGGTGCAGGAGGGAAGAGGAGTGATTGGTGGAATGATGATGTAAAGAGAGTAGTAAGGGAGAAAAAGTTAGCATATGAGAAGTTTTTACAAAGTAGAAGTGATGCAAGGAGGGAAGAGTATATGGAGAAAAAGAGAGAGGTTAAGAGAGTGGTGAAGCAATGTAAAAAGAGAGCAAATGAGAGAGTGGGTGAGATGTTATCAACAAATTTTGTTGAAAATAAGAAAAAGTTTTGGAGTGAGATTAACAAGTTAAGAAAGCCTAGAGAACAAATGGATTTGTCAGTTAAAAATAGGAGAGGAAAGTTATTAAATGGAGAGTTAGAGGTATTGGGAAGATGGAGGGAATATTTTGAGGAATTGTTAAATGTTGATGAAGATAGGGAAGCTGTGATTTCGTGTATAGGGCAAGGAGGAATAACATCTTGTAGGAGTGAGGAAGAGCCAGTTGTGAGTGTGGGGGAAGTTCGTGAGGCAGTAGGTAAAATGAAAGGGGGTAAGGCAGCCGGGATTGATGGGATAAAGATAGAAATGTTTAAAAGCAGGTGGGGATATAGTTTTGGAGTGGTTGGTGCAATTATTTAATAAATGTATGGAAGAGGGTAAGGTACCTAGGGATTTGCAGAGAGCATGCATAGTTCCTTTGTATAAAGGCAAAGGGGATAAAAGAGAGTGCAAAAATTATAGGGGGATAAGTCTGTTGAGTGTACCTGGTAAAGTGTATGGTAGAGTTATAATTGAAAGAATTAAGAGTAAGACGGAGAATAGGATAGCAGATGAACAAGGAGGCTTTAGGAAAGGTAGGGGGTGTGTGGACCAGGTGTTTACAGTGAAACATATAAGTGAACAGTATTTAGATAAGGCTAAAGAGGTCTTTGTGGCATTTATGGATTTGGAAAAGGCGTATGACAGGGTGGATAGGGGGGCAATGTGGCAGATGTTGCAAGTGTATGGTGTAGGAGGTAGGTTACTGAAAGCAGTGAAGAGTTTTTACGAGGATAGTGAGGCTCAAGTTAGAGTATGTAGGAAAGAGGGAAATTTTTTCCCAGTAAAAGTAGGCCTTAGACAAGGATGTGTGATGTCACCGTGGTTGTTTAATATATTTATAGATGGGGTTGTAAGAGAAGTAAATGCGAGGGTCTTGGCAAGAGGCGTGGAGTTAAAAGATAAAGAATCACACAAAGTGGGAGTTGTCACAGCTGCTCTTTGCTGATGACACTGTGCTCTTGGGAGATTCTGAAGAGAAGCTGCAGAGATTGGTGGATGAATTTGGTAGGGTGTGCAAAAGAAGAAAATTAAAGGTGAATACAGGAAAGAGTAAGGTTATGAGGATAACAAAAAGATTAGGTGATGAAAGATTGAATATCAGATTGGAGGGAGAGAGTATGGAGGAGGTGAACGTATTCAGATATTTGGGAGTGGACGTGTCAGCGGATGGGTCTATGAAAGATGAGGTGAATCATAGAATTGATGAGGGAAAAAGAGTGAGTGGTGCACTTAGGAGTCTGTGGAGACAAAGAACTTTGTCCTTGGAGGCAAAGAGGGGAATGTATGAGAGTATAGTTTTACCAACGCTCTTATATGGGTGTGAAGCGTGGGTGATGAATGTTGCAGCGAGGAGAAGGCTGGAGGCAGTGGAGATGTCATGTCTGAGGGCAATGTGTGGTGTGAATATAATGCAGAGAATTCGTAGTTTGGAAGTTAGGAGGAGGTGCGGGATTACCAAAACTGTTGTCCAGAGGGCTGAGGAAGGGTTGTTGAGGTGGTTCGGACATGTAGAGAGAATGGAGCGAAACAGAATGACTTCAAGAGTGTATCAGTCTGTAGTGGAAGGAAGGCGGGGTAGGGGTCGGCCTAGGAAGGGTTGGAGGGAGGGAGGGGGTAAAGGAGGTTTTGTGTGCGAGGGGCTTGGACTTCCAGCAGGCATGCGTGAGCGTGTTTGATAGGAGTGAATGGAGACAAATGGTTTTTAATACTTGACGTGCTGTTGGAGTGTGAGCAAAGTAACATTTATGAAGGGATTTAGGGAAACCGGCAGGCCGGACTTGAGTCCTGGAGATGGGAAGTACAGTGCCTGCACTCTGAAGGAGGGGTGTTAATGTTGCAGTTTAAAAACTGTAGTGTAAAGCACCCTTCTGGCAAGACAGTGATGGAGCGAATGATGGTGAAAGTTTTTCTTTTTCGGGCCACCCTGCCTTGGTGGGAATCGGCCAGTGTGATAATAAAAAAAAAAATATATTCTGTACTTTTTCTACATGTATGGCAAAGAAATTTATGAATTCTTTCTCCCTTCAGTTGATGATAACCGCTTAGTTCGTGATCTTCATGTTGTCACAGAAGACTTCTTCAACCAGCGGATTAAAGACTGGGTCAGACACTATAATTACTCGCTCAACCTAGAAGGTGCCTATGATGCTATAAAATGGATGTACACATATGGCCCAGATCCACACAACACTACACACATCAGGGAAGAATATGTCAATGTGAGTAGATTTGGCACTGGTAGGAGTTTAGTGCTCTATAAACTGTATTTTGTAGGTGAAAGTATAATATAATTTAACTCTTATGCATTCATGTAATGCCTTTTGAGCTATCATTCACAGGATGGATACAGGGTGCACAGTAAAATAGCTGAATTGGCAGCCAAGTCAAATGTAGTTTACATGAATTTATGAAAATAATTCTGTGCAGTAAAAACCAGATAAAGTGTGTAATGATCTACATATACTAAACCCTTTAAGGATAAGAATGTGAACTGAATGTCCTGTAATTATTCCTAGATGCTCTCTGATGCTCTATACAAGTCTGCTGTGGACCAGCTAGTGAAAGTATTGGTTAACTCAACCTCCAAGTACAGTGTTCCTACCTATTACTACCTTCTCAACACAACAGTAGAGGCCCTCAAACTTCCTTTTTGGAGAGAGGTTAGTAATATTCATTTATGATTTTATATATAAATGTTATGATAGAAAGATCATGAAAGTTTTATGTATTTTGAGGTCATTTGGTGGTCTTGTAATCATGAAATTCATTATCACGTGCTCAGCATTCCCGGTTTGTTGATACTTTAGTTTCCTGTGATGCTATTTACTGGTAACAATATCTTTTATTTTTTGCATCAAGAAACCTAGAAACAAAATTGAGTTGTAATGCTGAATAGAGTATACACTATACAGTGTGAATACATTTACTGTACTATAGATGTACTGTATTTTTTTTTATACTCGACAAACGGTCAAACCCTGGAATTCATGTGCTTCATAATCCACTTTATTTGATTATACAATGTTCATACTAAAGACCATTTCATGAATAACTTCAGTTATTCCCATTCTTTTCCTTGGGCTCCCCTCATGGAAGGTTCCTTGATGTTGGTGAGGGGCTCTTGATTTAGGGAATTGGATCTGTGCTCCAGTTCCCCGAATTAAGCCTGAATGCCTTCCACATCCCCCCCCCCAGGCGCTGTATAATCCTATGGGTTTAGCACTTCCCCTTGATTATAATAATAATAATTTTCCTTGGGCTCCTTGTCTTTGCACACAACCCCTAAGCTATATAGTAACCACATTTCTTTAAAAATGTACTCATTCTTTCTTATGAATGTCAGTATTAAGCAGACTGAAGTAATATTTCGAGGGAGAGGGCCAAAAAAGTATTTAAATAATTCGGATATGTGAACTGTCCAGTTATAGCTGGACTTGCCACCTGCTAGAATCTAACCCTGCAAATTATGGAGTTAAATTTTACAAGGAAATTAAAATCCTTATGTGCTTTTTCAATATCTCAGATTCCCAATAACATTGAGTACTACTTCATCTCTGGTGCACCCTTTATGGACCCAGACTTCTATCCAGAGAAGTTTCGTGTATCCCGTGAGCAGTGGAGTGAGGGAGACAGGAACATCTCTGAGTTCATGATGAGAACCTTTGCTAACTTTGCTAAGTGGGGGTAAGTTATATGCTCTTGGTGAGTTGTGTGCATGAGCGTGTTAGATAGGAGTGAACGGAGATGAATGGTTTTGGGGACTTAATGGGCTGTTGGAGTGTGACCAGGGTAATATGTTGTGAAGGGATTCAGAGAAATCGGTTAGCTGGACTTGAGTCCTGGAAATGGGAAGTACAATGCCTGCACTTTAAAAGAGGGGCTTGGGATATTGGCAGTTGGAGGGATGTCTAAGGTGTCATACCTGAGCACCTCTGCAAAGACAGTGATTATGTATGGGTGATGGTGAAAGTTTTTTCTTTCTTTTTGGGTCACCCTTTTTCAGTGGGAAATGGCTGACATGTTAGTCTTTAAACCTACCCAACCAACCAGGTCCATAATTTTTTTTGTCTGTCTATGATTTATTTATGCTACATCACAACAAGGTTGGTTTTGCACTTAAACCATCATTCCATTGGAATTGGAATTCATTTACAGTGGAACCTCAAATATCGAACTTTCTTTGGTCCAGAAGGCTGTTCGAGTGCCTTTACCGAATGAATTTATTCCCATCAGGAATGATGTAAATTAGATTAGTCCATTTAAGACCCTCAAAAATACACTTATAAAAACACTTACAAAAATACACTTACATAATTGGTTGTGTTGGGAGCAGTTCGATTTTTGAGGTTCCACTGTATGATGATTCTTGTATGTGGGTGTGAAACATTGGTTTTAAATATTTCTGGGAGGAGGAAACTGGAGGCAGTGGAGGTGTCGTGCTTGGGGGCAATGCATGGTGTGAATGTTATGCAGAGAATTCAGAGCTTAGAGATTAGCTGTGGGGTTACCAAAAGTATAATTCATTGGGTTGAAGAGAGGTTGTTGAGGTGGTTTGGACATTTAAAGAGGATGGACCAAAATAGGATGACTAGGAGTGCTAGGGCATGTATGAGCATGTTAAATATGAGTAAATGGAGACAAGTTCGTTTTTAATGGATGTGCTGTTGGAGTGTGAGCAAACTAACTTTCCTTAACCCGTAAACGGTCCAGGCAGATCTACGTTCACATGTGTAGTGCTACAAAAGTAGATCTACGTTTTTTTACACATTTTCAAATGTAAAAAAACAAAAAGAAGATCTACTTTTTTTACATACTTTCAAATGTTGAAAAAAACGTATATATACATTCGGACCGTTTACGGGTTAAGGGATTCAGGGAAAGCAGTTAGCCAGACTTGAGTCCTGGAGGTGGGAAGGGCAGTGCCTGCACTCGAAGGGTAATCCAATCATTATGTCAGGACCCTTCTGTAAAGACAAATTTAATGAATAATGGTGAATGTGTTGTCTTTGGGTCACCCTGCCTTGGCAGGAGACAGCTGCTGAATTAAAAAAAAGTACTGTATATTTCAACATGTAACTGAGGCTCTTCACTAGTTACCCCAAGGAGGAGGTTGCTTTATGTCAGTAAAGGGCTCTTGATGTAAAGAATTGGATCTGTCCTACCTACTGTAGATCTCACTTCAATGCTTCTGACTTCCCCAGGCACAGTTTGAACCTTATGAGTTTGGTATTTTGCCTTGAATATAATAATACCCTCAGTAGATGGAAGAGGACCCCCATTTGCAGACTGAGATATACATTGCTTTTATCTCGTTTTATTTTTCTCCATGTGGGTTGGTTTGTGTCATTGTCTAGCATTTAAAGCACTTTCATTTTGTAACATGTTATGTTTCATATTATCAGGAACCCCACACAGACTCAAGTTGATATACTGAAAGTGAACTGGGAACCAGTACTAGAAGGGAATCTTAAATACCTCAGCATTAACACCACTTTCAACACTACCATGCACTACAATTACCGTCAGCCATACAACACCTTCTGGTCTACATATATACCTCAAGTTATACGGGAATGGGTGCCCACCGTTCCACCACCAGTTAATGTAAGTAATGTACCTATGTCTTAACAGCATCACATCCATTCCAATTACTATATTGATACTTATTAGATATGAAGCAACAAATATTTTCATATTAATTTATTAATAATCAGCAGGCTGTCTGAGTATTTTAATTGAAAATGTAAAAGTAATACTTTTACATTTTTAGAATGCTCTTCAGTATCTTTATAGAACAGAAATACTAAGTCATGGCAGTTGTTTTGGGGTAAATTTGAGTCAGCCTACCAGTCATTTTCTGATTGGCTTCATAATAGATTATAGAATCTGCATCCTTCAGTATTACTGAGCTTCTAAAAATCTGGAGTTTTTATTAATTAAAGAGATTAGAATATTCATATCACAGGTTAAGCGAGATGATTATAGATAAATTTCTAGGCAAGGTGTATTACTTACATTTTTGTCTTCATGCATTTAGCAGTGATTGGAGATGTGTATACATATTTATGAGTAAATTGTACTCTGGTAAATATAGTAGAGATGTAAAAGAGGACATCACCTTTTAAACTACAGCACATTATTATTGAACAAATAATAAGTTAAATTAATAACCACCTGGATAAACAATGGCCTAGGCTGACAAGTTGTAAGAAGGAAATTTACATTTGCAGGGAAAATTTCAAGACTTTTCACATACCTGATGAAGTCCAGGTTTCTTTGCTAACACCTTCCAGTGTGTTTTGAGGAATTTTTTTATCTTCCTTACCACTTTGGAAAGATAGAGCATAAATTTGTTCTTGTGGTGTGTGGAGATTGCATAAGTATTGTATTTTCATCACTCAGCCATGGACACAGCTGAGTCAGCCCATTGTAGCAGCATTTTATGGGGCTCTGGCATTCTGTGTGGTCCTCCTGGTCATACTATTTGTGTGCTGTGGACTGTGGAAGTCTGCTAAGAGGTATGTCTTGTCCTACCATAAATTGTTTATTGTAAGCTAATGTGTGCATTTCCATTTGATAAAATTAAACCTAAATTACCCATGTAAAGCTTGGGCAAGCTACAAGTTTTGTATATCAATATACATACCAATATTGTAATAAACACTAGTTAGCAGCATCACTCAAGCCATATAATATATTGAATGTGATACTTCATATTTTTTTCTGCTGAAGGTCTTATTACAAAACCAAAATACAGTGGACCCCCGGTTAACGATATTTTTTCACTCCAGAAGTATGTTCAGGTGCCAGTACTGACCGAATTTGTTCCCATAAGGAATATTGTGAAGTAGATTAGTCCATTTCAGACCCCCAAACATACACGTACAAATGCACTTACATAAATACACTTACATAATTGGTCGCATTCGGAGGTGATCGTTATGCGGGGGTCCACTGTAGTGTATACAGTAAATATTTTTTTTTTTTTTTTGTCTCCATGTGGGTTCACTTCTAATCTACACAAAATTAAACAAAAATTTAATTTGTTTTAGTTTAGTAGAACATTGTTTAAATGAGATATCTCAGCTCTTTAAGACAGGTTGGGAACAATTGGTGAATGTTTTCTAATGTGGGAAAGTATTTACAGAGTGGGGGGATTGTTATATTATAATCATGTGGAAGTGCTAAACCTGTAGGGGTTATACAGTGCATTAGGACTGGGAAGCAATCAAATTTGATCCAAGAAAGGGGAAAAATAGGTCTAGTTCCTTCGATTAAGAGCTCCTCACCAAGCACCAAAGTACCTCCCTTTATTATAATTGCTGAAGCATTAAACCCGTAGTGGTCATAAGTTGGGGAATGGGAGGCAGTTGGTTTTGATCCAAAGAAAAGTAAGACATATCCTCTTCCTTGGGTCAAGAGCCTCTCAGGCACCTCTCTTGAGGATGTGGAGAGGATTATTATTATTATTATGATGATCAAAAAGAAGCGCTAAACCTACAAGGGTCACACAGAGCAGCTAGGCAGGGGATAGTGCAGGGGTATAGAGTAGCAAGAGGGAGAGGCTGTGAGGAGTGCTAGAGGGAGTTTCATCAAAATTTGTGCAGTAAATCAATTGCTGTCAAAAAGTCAACGAGAGAGTGAGTCAAAGGTGGGTCCGTCAGCAAGGAGGGAAGATAAAGTAAGGGTATTAGAGCAGTGACTACATCAGAGGTGAATTCTGCGTGCTCGTTGATACAGTGGGCAGTCCAACAGAATATGGCTAACAGAAACTGGAACCTGACAATTCTCAGAGTGGAACAGGGCTGATGCAAAGACAGGAGAGAGTAGTCTCCCAACCACAGCATTGATGACAAGAAGATGGCCAAGAACCTATACGCATGTACTTGCTTTAATAGGATGTAATTTGTTATGTATCAGATCAGACCAACGTTGTTGCCAACAGTTGTGAAGCTGGTTAGAAATTACAGCAAAATAGTCTGAATGGAATACCTCTATATGAAACTGGGAGGTCATGTACTGCTGACTGTGCAGCAGTGTCTGCCTACTCATTGCTCTGTATGTCAACATGACCAGGTACCCAACAAAAATCAATATATTTTTTGCTAGAGATATGGCATAACCAAAGTTGTATACGAAGAACCAGGGGATGAGGTGAATCCAATTTTTTTATAGCCTGCAAAGCACTAAGGGAGTCTGAAACTATAACAAATGGCGACATGGGAATAGATGCAATACGAATAATTGCTGTGAGACTTGTATACAATTCAGCTGTAAAAATGATAACCAAGTCTAATAAATGCCCTCACACGACACTGCTGCAAACCCAACACTGTACGAAGATTTAGAACCATCGGTGTACACTGCGATGGCATGAGAATGAGTAAGAAAAAGAGAATGCGAAGCAACTGTAGGTATTTGGGCTTTCACGCATGGCAGTGGGAAAGAACAGACATGAACTGTTGGAACCTCCCAAGGGGGAAGAGAAAAGTTAGATGCTACATGAACATATGAAGGTGGCAACTTTAGAGAAGACAAGAGTGAATATGAATGAAGAGAAAAGGGGTGGAGTAAACAGGCAACGAACAAACAGTGAACTTCTACTAACATCCGTTACTATCCTATACGTGGAAAGATTGCGGAGGTCATGAGAACAAAACAAAATAGTGGAGGCAGCGAGCATCATGGTGATCATTCAAGGATGGAAGATTTGCCTCTGTATATGGACTCTCTACATTGTGTAATTTCTTAGTAAAGGGTAGATTATTATTATTACATTCATGATGGCAGTGCTAAACCCATGGAGATCAATATAGGGTAGATCTGAGGTACGTGAGACACTTTTTACAATACCGACGTAAAATCAGAGTTTTGAGGCAGACTCAAATTGTCCTAGTATAGGTACACTTTTTTTTTTTCTTTAAATAATCCGGCTATCTCTCACTGAGGTAGTGACTTGACAAAGAAGACAACACTTTTGCTGTCACGCATTCAGTCACTGTCTTGCTAGAAGTGTGCTGACATTACAGTTCAGATGACCTTCCAAACTGCAACATCTCCACCTCACATCAAATAAAAAACTACTTATCTCTGTCAAACATGCTCACACAAGACTGTTGGATGTCCAAACCCTCAATGCTCTCAACTGCCTTTACCCCTCCAACCTTTCCCAAGACGACAACTACCCCTCCTTCCTAGATTTATATGCCCTCCTAGTCATCCTATTTTTCTCTGTCCTCCGTAAACGTCCAAACTACGTTCATGACCCTCTGCCCTCTGAATAATGCCTCTGGTAACTCCATACTTCCTCCTATGTTCTTAACTCTGAATTCTCCAAATACGTATATTCATACCACACACTGCCTCATCACTACAATATTCAAAGCCTATTCTTCACACCTATACAGGTATTGGTACCACTATACTCTGGTACATTTCTGGTACCATTGTTCTCTGATACATTCCACTTTTTGCCTCTGTAATAAAGGTCTTTGTCTCTACAGATGCCTCAATGCACCAACTACCTTTTTTCGTTCATCATTTCTACGGTTAACTTCATCTTTTGGAACCATCAGCCGACAAGTCTACTCCCATATATCTAAACCTATTTACTCCTTCCCTACAATCTGTTACTTGAAATTTTAAAATGGAAGGTTTGAGGTAGAAATGTTTAAATGACAAAGTAAACTTTCTGCAGTATATACATGTGTATTGAAACATCATAGCCAACTGCCTAAGATTTGGAGTCAATAATTTAAGGTAGTTTAGAATTTTTTAATTTTCGTAATTCAAAGCTACATATCATTGATTTTGTCGTAGTTTTCAGTGGGAAATGGTGAGCAGGGGGAAGCTCCTGGAGGTCTCATGTATTCTTATCAAAATTTTTTACTGCAAGTTCTTAATGAAATTCAGTTGGCCAAGTTATATTAGGCTTAGGAATGTAAGCCCATGAATCTACATGTAGCTATTGTATATTCACTTGTTAATTGGCTGGTAGGCATTTATAGCACCAAAGAAATCATAGATGTTCATACTAAGTTATTTAATGCAGTTTTAATAAGATTGTATGGAGATGGACTCTAGCAATTTTTTGCCAGCAGGTAAGAGCATCGTTTTCATTCAGATCAAATACAGGACCACATTTTCTTATAATCCTTATTGTGGACTCCATTTCTCATTAACTATAAATGTTAAGCTAACCCACCATCAGAATAGTAGTGTATATAACATATGTAATGTGCTGAATAAGACAAAGTGGTCATTTAGGTAGAACCGCCCTAAAAATAGATCTTTTGTAAAAATTTATCTTATACATTTATTGATTTTTTTTTTTTTAATTTAAACTGGTTTAAAAATTTTAAACTTTGCACCAAAATTTACTATTATGTACATGATTTAATTTAGCCTGATCCGACTAAACATATCTCGGGTCATTTTAAATTGATGTAGCATTAAGATTAATGACTTTTTTTTTTTACGTTCAGACTGCGTTTCATGGATGTATCACATGCACAAATTCTCACTTATTCAACAAAATAATCCTTGCTTTTATGAGCATAAATCACTTATGTGTTATTCGGCACTTTTTCTTTTTATTTTAACAGCCATCTCCCACCAAGGCAGAGTTACCCAAAAAAAAAAAAGAAACTTTTCACCATTATTCACTCATTGTCTCGCTGAAAATGTGCTGACATTACAATTCAGCTTACCCTCTGACTGCAACATCCTCACTCTTCCAGAGTGCAGGCACTGGCCTTCCACCTCCATGACTAGTGAGGCTAGCCAGTTTTTCTTGAATCCCTTCATAAATATTACCTTGTTCCCACTCCTGCCTTCCTAAATAACAATGTAGTATATCATCATAAATGGTATACAATATTGACAAGTTGATTAGTAAGACGTGCATCACTTAAGAATCATTATTGTTGAAACATTTTGCTTGCACAAAAGGCGAAAATATAAGAGTGAAAAATGTCTTAGCTTTATTACTTACAGCTTATTATTATTATTATTATAATCAAAAAGAAGCACTAATAATTTATTACTTACAAATGCAGTTTCTTACACTTTTGTTTTCTGTAATTTTTGCTGATTTCACTGAAGAGGTTCATCACTAATAGGAAGTACCATATTTTACCGTATACGAGACTCATTTTTTTTTCCTCTCAAAATCCTGTCTTACATGGTGGTTAGTCTTGGGAACTACAAATAATTCCATTTAACAAAGAGAACAATTAAAAAAATAATAAACGAAGGATATTCAGCAAATTTAGGGTGTCTTATATGCTAGTGCATCATATATACTGCAAAATGTGGTACATTATGGTGAAACTTAATTCGCTAGAATGAATGTATTCAGATTAACAGCTGTTTATTATCATGAATGCAGTGTAGAGCTTTACTTTTTATCTCTTTAGACACTAAACTCTTCCTCCTGTCCCAGACAGCAGAACAAGGCGCTGACAGACTTGGTGTATTACAAAACGGAGACTGAAGCCCTTAGCATCGGAGAACAGAATGATGTACGAGAGTAGATATGGACAACCTTCTTTCCATTCGCTCTCTAACACCAAGCAACATTGTTCAACTATGCTTCAACTAACTATTATTTGCTGTAGATTATTTGGTTTGAGCTTTCTTGCAAATTAACACTTGCTTCCCCCCCCCCCCCTTTTTGGTTGATTTTTATATCTACAATGTATGGGAAATCATTTTTTCAAGTATGCTAATGTGGAAATAATTGCTTTTCTATGCTTACCGATTGATTTAGAAATGGAGTCCATAGCCTCAAGGGTGAAGAAGCTAAAGTGAACAAACATTTTTAAACAGAAAAAGGCTTTGTACATGACCTCTCCTTCTCTCTTACTTCAGACAGAGGAACAAAGCCTTGGATGATCTCCAGTATTTCTCAACTGACAACATTGGGCCAGCACACGAGTCTGAAGATTACAAAGTAAGAGAATATCTGGATAAGTTATCAAACAACAATCATCAGGAACAATCACGTTCTGTCACACCTAATACAGTAATCACCGAGACCCCTGAGTTCTCAGACAGTACCATCACTAAGTTGAAGGAACCTTACCGTTCAGCCTATCCAAATTCTAATATGGCAAAATCAGTGGATCAACTTGTTAACCAGTACCATCCTGCTCAAAATGCTCCTTCTATGTCAAGGTCTACAGACAACATTATGCAGAATTACCAAGGTGGCTATGGAAGATCTGGAATGGGTCCAGAGCTCAGTGGAAGACAACTTCAGCAGCCACAGCAGCAGCGTCCTGTTACCCCCAGCTCTGTGGTTCACTCCGAACCTAATGGCCAGCCCTCCCGGGACTACATGACTCAGCCACTGGTACAGTATACAGAGTCTAAGGTGAGCACTCCAGTACCTGCTATGAGGACTTCTATTGCCACCATAACTTCCACAACTGGCCTCTTGCACACAGAATTGTGATCCTACCTCATCTTTCTTATTTACCTAGGTTTTCCTTAAAAATGCCATAAGAATACCATGGGTTATCACACTCGTGTACTTACCAAAAATAGTTATTCCTCCACTAATATGGATATAACCTTTCATGTGTATTAATCAATTTTGTACTGATAAACTCTTGAAGCTGAACTTTTGTCACAAAGCAATGCTTTTGTAATGTTCTTTTCGGTGCCAAAATTTCAACTTTCAGGGCATTATAAATATGTAAATAATTTCTACTTTGAAAGACAATCTGTCTACATGTGTGTTTAATGGGGTGGATCTGCAGCTTGTGGAATGCCTTGTTCATTTGACCAAAAGCTCCAGTTAGTGAGTCATCATGACTTAGGATAACATTTTTTCTGATAAAGGGTCTGTTTCCAGTTGAATATAATCACCTGAGACTGCTACACTAGAATATATAATTAGTGTGGTGTGTAAAGCAGGACGTTGGAAGCTGTAAAACTGTAGTGGCCATGGAAAGCAGCAGCAAAAGGGATACTAAAACTTAAATTGTAACTTGTAAATGTGGTGTATCATCACTCCGTCTCTTTACTTAGTCTGCCTTCACCCTCTCACCTTTTATGCACCAGATTTAGACAAAAATGCAAACTTGTTGATTAATATATGTGCTTTCTCAAAAATATTGTATTCAGCAGATTTATTGATTTTGTTTATCGTGAGAAATAAAATTTAATCATGCCAAATGTAAGGTCAGAAGTGCAAGTTACTCCAGTACTTCCGTGTGTCATTGAAGTAAAATTGGAATGCTCTGTTATATCAAAATTCTTCAGAGCAAAGAATTGCAGTTTTGTCAGAAAACATAAACTTAATCAAGTTTGACAGAATTAACATTTGTTTCCTGTTATAATAATCGGTATAATTTTATACTATAATCAGTATTGTTGTATTGTAACGGTTTATATTTAAGCTCATTGTTATCTTCAAAGCTATATGATGTACCCATAGCTGGAAGTGATTTTTTTAGTCAACTGTTATGTTGATATTAGTGATATCTAGAAAAAATAATTTACAAGACAATTTCTTAGGTACCATGTTTATGCGAGAAGGTACTGTATTTTAAAATAAGCAGAGGTACTAGTATTATTTACTGTGAAGGATAGTACACTTGTGGCACCTTTCAAAGCTTAAATAAAAAATTCTGGTACGTTTCAACAGTTCCTAAATATTGTTGTGGCATCCGTCTTTGACCTACAGTTCAGACTGATTAAAATTTCAGCTCTGATTATGTAATGACATTCCATTATTATTACTACATGTTTGTGTGTTTTTTTTTTTTTTTTTATCACACTGGCTGATTCCCACCAAGGCAGGGTGGCCCAAAAAAGAAAAACTTTCACCATCATTCACTCCATCACTGTCTTGCCTGAAGGGTGCTTTACACTCCAGTTTTTAAACTGCAACATTAACACCCCTCCTTCAGAGTGCAGGCACTGTACTTCCCATCTCCAGGACTCAAGTCCGGCCTGCCGGTTTCCCTGAACCCCTTCATAAATGTTACTTTGCTCACACTCCAACAGCACGTCAAGTATTAAAAACCATTTGTCTCCATTCACTCCTATCAAACACGCTCACGCATGCCTGCTGGAAGTCCAAGCCCCTCGCACACAAAACCTCCTTTACCCCCTCCCTCCAACCTTTCCTAGTGTGAAAATACCAGTGAAAAACAAACCTGAGCACTTTTGTGTGCTTATACACATCTTCAGTGAATGTAAGCACACAAAAGCATTTAGGTGTTTAACATAAAACTCAGCATGAGTTATGCATTAGTTTCATATATCTTTGGCAACATTAGCCCTTAAACTGTCCAAACAGATTTACATTCACATGCGTAGTGCTCCAAAAGTAAATGTTTTTTTTTTACATATTTTCAAAAAAATAGATGATCAAAGTTTTTTACACGTTTACAAATGTAAAAAAAAAAAATTACATTTTTTACATTAAAATGTCGAAAAAACATAGATCTACGTTTGGACAGTTTAAGGGTTAAAGCCTGTCGAGACTAGGCTGTTGTTATTCTAAATGTAAACATCAATAACTACTACAAATAGATTTGCTACTGGAGACACTTTCAGACAGGCACTAAAAATAACAAAAGTCAAGGTTTTTCTGGTCATACATAATTTGTTTTATGCTTTTGAATTTGACCAAGGTGCATTAATGCATCTGAAAGGTAATACTACCTATCATTTATGATTTAACACTGCCTTAATCCTGTAAATGTGACCACACATAATTGTAGGTATTTTTTAATGTATATTTAGTTTAAAAAATAGTATATATAGAACTGTAACTCTCAAGACTAGTTCAGTGCAATGAACAACGGTATGTTGACACAGTTGATTTAGTTTTGTGATTTTTGTGGGTTAAGTGACCAAACAATATTATTATAATCAAAGGGGAAGCGCTAAACCCGTAGGATTATACAGCGCCCGGGGGGGGGGGGATGTGGAAGGCATTCAGGCTTAATTCGGGGAACTGGAGCACAGTTCCAATTCCCTAAATCAAGAGCCCCTCACCAAGACCAAACAATAGTATAGCAATTAAAAAATTATTTGCACTCTAACTTCTTGTTTAGCCCCTCTTACAAGTCATGTTAAATTCTTTATGCTACTCTAAGTCATGGCAGCCCACTAATTACAGCATACAAGGTATGCCTCAACCCACAAGGGATTTAGTTTCCTGTGATGCAGGTGTGGGCACCAGGTACAGTACTCTCACTTGCTCACACTCTGGATGAAATACTTGTACTAAAAAGCTCATATCTAAAAAATATTAATTTATAAGTATTAATACTGTATATAAGAGTATTATAATGCAAGAGTTGTGGAAATACACGTGTCAAGAACGTCCAAAACTTCTTGGTAGGGACACTAACAACTGATAAAATGTATCTAATATACTTTGCATTTTGTAAATATATTTTTCAATACTTTGTAAATAAATGTTCTTTTGAATGTTTTTGTATTACTTTTACCTCTGACTGCAAAGCATAAAATTAATGCTTTTTGTTGCTATAATAAATAAAGAGAGCTTACTATAAGTCATAAACCAGTGAAGCAATAAGTAACAAGCCACATAACTGTTACAACACCATATAGCTTACACAACAAATTTGGAAAAACAAGCTTCAAATTATTCAAAATTAAATGTCAGGGATTTGATAAAAAATGACTGCATGGAAAACATTTGTCAGGATTCACTACTGAAAAACAAATTTAAAAACTGGCAGATAAAGTATTATTATATTCAAGGACCCTTGGAATATGTGCCATTGAAAGGCATATGATCCAAGGAATTTAAACTACCCTTCCCTTCCTTGAATCAAACCTTACTACCCATTTCCCAGGTGCTGTATGACCCCTACGGTTTAGCACTTCCCATGACTATCATCATGGTAAGTTACACACTGCTCTACTTGTCCAGATTCCCTGATTTCTTAACCAACACTAATTTCCTTCTCTGTGACTCCACCTACCATTCCTCACTCTTCCTGTACAGTGCTTAATAATCCACGTGGGCTTAGCACTTCCCATGATTATAATCATGGGAATTGCTAAGTCCTAGGGGTCATACAGCACCTGGGAAATGGGTAGTAAGGTTTGATTCAAGGAAGGGGAGGGTAGTTTAAGGGTAGGGTAGTGTGTGTAACTTCAAAGAATTAGGAATGGTCAAAGACCTAGGAATCAGATGACTGATCTCACACATGGAAACCAGATAACTGGTCACACAAAAACAAATTTATTTTACTTACAGTTGGCAGTTGGACATACCTATAACTCATCCAAGGTATAAGTATTGGCCATGAGGTATGTCATGAAACCACTCCATGAATAACGTACTTAGTTGACATGTGGACAACGTTAACAGACTACTGTTGATGTTTAACAATGCTTGAGTTGAAGATGGACTGCATGCTGTAAATTCTTGTTTAATCATTAAAGTCTACATTTTCTAAATTATATTACTGGGAGTTATAGATTTGTTACAATACCTATAGTACTATATTAAGTTGGCCAAATAAAAAAGTTACTATTACTGTAATGTGTCCTATCTAATTGTGGTGTTTTTCAACTCTTAATAAAGTTAAAGATAGATTGGCACATGTTCTAGGAATATTGTATATATCACTGACAAATACTGCTATTTCTAGAATAAATAGTCACAGTAATTTAATTGAATGTGTAACAAATAATAAATACAGTGACTGTAAATGAATATTTGTAAAAATTAAGTATAATTTAACACTATCTGACACAAAACTTAATGAATATTTACATAATATGTTTGAAGCTGACTACTGAATAATAATAGTTCCATCCCTTCATCTTCCTTGCTGACTCAATGGCCATTAACCCATAAACGGTCCAAACTTATACATACGTTTTTACCGCTAGTGCCCCAAACGTATATATACGTTTCATTGGTCATACATTTATCAGTGCCACGATAAGCCTGAGTCGCCTAGACATGAGAGAATGGGTGTGCGCACTCACTGTGCGCCATATTAAAATAATCGGGGATGCCTGGGTACCATATGCTCTTTTTTCCTATTAAAAAACAAAAGATTTTTTTTTTCTCAAAAAAAGTTGGGGCACTACGGTAGGTAATATATATATACATTCAGACTGTTTACGGGTTAAATGGCATTCCACTAAAGCTTCAAATGAGAAACTATTATGGGCCAAGAGGTTTTCGTCCCATAAGAAGGAAGTACTTGAAACGAAGACAGATTTCGGTATCCTCTGGACTTGTTGCCACATTAAGAGTAGACATAATTCTGAAAAAAAAAATATAGTTCATTAGCTTTTACAATAGCCCTTGTTAGATTTGACATGTGATACTATTATTATTACATTCATGGGGAAAGTGCTAAGCCTATGGCTGTAGGAGTTATACAACACCTAAGAGGAAGGGATAATCACAGACAACACTATGGACCACTAACCCAACTTTTCTCATAACCAACTTTGGCAGGATGCCGCAGGACACAACTAAGATCTCATTTTGATTACAAGAAGAGTCGTCAATAAATAAATTTATTTCTGCCTTGCATAACACTGTCTGGCTGGGTGAGCTAGCAGACAGCCACTATACTGATGTGTCAAAATATTTGTACATAAAACCCAAAACCTCTCGACATTGTCCAATGAAAACAAAGCAGATCTCAGCAAAGAGACTAAACAGCCCATGGCTTACAAATAGTATCCTTAACCCTTTCAGGGTCAACAGGCCCTCTCCCAGACTTGTTCTCGGTTGAAAAATTTCACAAAAAAAAAAAAAAAAAAAAAAAAAAAAAAAAAAAAAAAAAAAAAAAAAAAAAAAAAAAAAATATGAAAAGATAGTTTTTTTTCTTCTAAACATTATAGGCTAAAAAAAAAAATTTGCTATCAATATTTACCGAGATATGGAAGCGTGAGGTTGACAAAGTGAACTGCATATGGCATGTGCAAGAAAGGTATAAAATACCGACAATATGAAAGTTAAGACACATGTGCAGCATCTGGATATCTTTATTGTAGACGTTTCGCCATCCAGTGGCTTTATCAATACAGATTCTAGGACATAATTGGAGGACAGTAGAACTATATACTGACGGACTGATTACCTCATCTTTTGTATATAGTTCTACTGTCTTCCAATTATGTCCTAGAATCTGTACTGATAAAGCCACTGGATGGCAAAACGTCTACAATAAAGATATCCAGATGTTGCACATGTGTCTTAACTTGCATATGGCATCATCACTGACTGCCGGTCACCCAGTAATTGTTTATTTTGTTTTTTTCTACTTTTTTTCTATTATTTTTTAATATTTTTTTCAAGTAACTTTTATGGCCTGTGAGACCAATATGAGCTGTATTTTGTATGTTTTTTCTTTCTATACTACACAATAACTGCACAAACACTGTTGTCACTATATTGTTTACAAAACTTGTTTACACAAATGAACAATATAAAATGTTGTTAATTACTATTTTTTTATATTTTATATACACACACACAGTCACAGGATATGTTTCTAGAAGCTCTGTAGCCTTTGGAAGTCTTTGAAACATGGTGTCATGCACAGTGGTGTTTTACACTCCTCACACATAAAATGAGTGTCTCTGTATTGTTGTGGGTGTTTTTTTGTATGTGCACAGACGTAACACCTCTTCCGAGCATTTTTGAAAGCAGTAGCAGGCAGTTTTATTAGGAAGTGATCACCATGCTTCAGACGAGAAGGTAGTTGTTGATAATTTAGTGGGTGGTTTTCTATTGCAGGTGTTGTTCCTAAGTACTTGAATACTATTTGTCTGATGACAAACAAAATTTGCCATATGGTAGTTTGTTTCTGGTCCTCATCTTAAACATATTATAAGCATTGAGCATGGAAATGTCCAGAATATGGAAAAAGAGTTTTATGTACCACTTATAACTCTTGTGACCACAATCAGCAAACCCAATCTGCATGTCACATTTGTCCACTGAGTGCATACTGAGGGTGTAGTCCATCACAGCTGCAGGTTTTAGAATGGGTTCATTGGTCTCTTTATTCTGCCTGCCAGTGTTTGTCATTTCATTAGGGTGAACTGATGACAACAGTGTGACATCTTGTTTGTCATGCCACCAAAATGCCATGATGTCATTGACAGCAAACGCCTGCACCTCACCTCTACGAGTGCCAGCGTCAAACCTGGGCATATGCTTACGATTTCCACGCACTGTGCCACAAATATGTCATGTTCACTCGCAAAAAAAATCACTGAGCGAGGGGCTTGTGTACAAGTTATCAGTATATAATATATGTCCCTTACCAAGATATGGTTCCATCATTGTTCTAACCACATCACAAGAGATGCCCAATAACTTCCTGATATTTTGCAATGTATTATTTCCAATGTACACAATAATATCCAATACAAGACCACTGTAGCAGTCACAAGGCACAAACAACTCTATACCAAAGAGTTTCCTCTTGCTTGGTATATACTGCTTGAAAGACAGTCTTCCTTTGAACAGAATCAAAGACTCATCAATAACAAGCTTCCTGAAGGGATAAAAATACATATTGAATTTCTGTTTCAGATACACAAACACATTCCTAATCTTATATAACCTGTTATTTCTGTCAGGCTTGGTTTTGTCTGAGAAGTGAAGCATACATAATAGTAGCACAAATCGATTCACTCGCATTATATCACTGAAACCTGGGGTTGCAATCAGGCAGTCTATTGACCAGTATGATTGGACACTGATAATACACATGTGGCATAAGCATTATTGTGGCAAAGAAAATATACATCTCAGCCACAGTTGTCTCCTTCCACTGGTGTAGGTATGATTTTGGTGAAAGTATTGAGTTTGTCATGGTGTACTCGTAGTATCTGTTGCTTTCCCTGACAATAATTTCCATCAGGGGTTCGTCAAAGAATAACTCGAAACATTTTAGTTCAGTGGCATTGTTCCCAAGTGTACAAGATGGCCGTATTCCACTTTGAGTTTCATCAAAGTGATGGGGATTGGGAACAAAATTGTCAGCTTCCTGCCAGTCCCAGGTGTGGTCTGCTGGTGGGTACTGGATATTGACAGGTGGTTGTGGAGGCTGGTGTGGTGGGTGGGTGGCTAAGGGTGGTCTTTGTTGAAGCTAAGCCGACTCAGTGGTGTGGGTGGCAGCATGGCCCACTGCCGGTACCTCACGGCTGGCACCTCCACTACCACCACCATGCACGTTTTCCATCCCAATTGCAACACTATCATCTTCATTTTCACTATCTGTTCCTGCTGTACAGCCATGGGATGTACTCCGAGATGTACCCTTTCCCCTTGGAATGGCATATGGCGCACTACCAGAGCGCACATACCGTTGTATAAACTAACACTTCACTGGAGAATATTCCACTTCACTATCGCTACTGGAACTGTTTTCAAGAGTTTGTAGTTCATATTCACTATCACTATCATCACCATTGCTCACATCTGAGTCCTGGATATGGGAAAATAGGAGTTTCCTCTTTCGTTCTGGTACAACTGAACGTGAACAAGACGGCCCAGCACCAGAGGTGGAAGCTTGAGGGTCATCTGGATTTTCTTCACTATTACCGGTATTACTGGTCATTAGTTTCGGTCACAATCTCATCAAAACCTTGAAACTCATCTTCACTGGCACTTCCATCTGTATTAAAACTGTCACCGGGGAACAAAAGTGTCCCTATTCGCCGAGGAGTGAGGAGTTTCTTACCGTGAGGCATGGTGAACAAGGTGTAGTAAAATGGCATTCCCACAATACACCACTGGGTCCCCGATTTGTTTCCTACAGCGCACATTGACCATGCAGACCCATTCTCTCACATCTATGCCTACTAGCCATTTTCCGCTTGATTTGAAGGCGCTAGAATTTATGTGTACTAGTACATCAATAACCCTGGCGCGTAAGCCGTACTAGTACATCGGAAACCCTGAAAGGGTTAAATCCATCGATAAAAAACATCTTCAGCCTCTCCTCACTTAGTGACATACTCCAAGTGGCACTCCTAACTCTATACCATTCTCTAATATACCCTTACCTCACCTATGGTATTTGTGCTTGGGTATCTACCACAGCCAATCACCTTAAACCTTTAACCCTTTCAGGGTCGAGAGGCCCTCTCCTAAACTTGTTCTCAGGGGTCGAAAATTTTTCGGAAAAAAAAAAAAATCTTATGAAATGATAGAGAATCTTTTCCCGATCATAATGACACCAAAAGTATGAAATTTGATGGAAAACTTACGGAATTATGCTCTCGTGAAGTTAGCAGTCTTGCTGATGTGTAAGCATCGGCGATTTCGCCCACTTTGAGCCCTATTTTCGGCCAATTCCTGTTTACTAGTCCACAAAAATCATATTTATTTCACTAGAATTCCCTTTTTTCTATCGAATGAATACAAAAAACCACCCATTTACCAATTTCAACTATCCAATTAAGTGGTTAGAAATTGGCAATTTTGCCAATTTGGTACTCTGTACCAATTAAATTATTAAATGTAAACACACACTGTAACCTTTGCAAAGAAATATTTTTTTTATTTTGAAGGATAGGTAATCAGGTTCAATTAAATGATAGAGAAAATAAGTCCAATTCCTTAATTCAAGAACCCCTCACCAGCATCAAGGAACCCCCCTTTGACACTATGCATTCTTAAACATTGCATATATTAGACTACTGACTGAGGTTCTAAGCACTTTTTTTTTTGTCAGAAAGTAAGGAGATTGATTTATTCTTGAGTAATATTGTTGAATGGAATTGGAATAACAGTGAAAGAAGATATGTGTATATAGGTATTACCTACCAGACCCACAATGACCCCTATACCATACAACATTGATATTGCTGTGGTTACCATCAAAACTAACTGAGACATCACAGAACCCAAGGATATTGGAGTCTACAGCAGCCCCCTGTGATGGATGTGACAAGGTTTACAATGAAAAACTAGGAATCTTCCCAAATGCCTGCAGAAAAACAAGTAGGCCTGTATAGTGAACATCAACACCACCTGGGTACAGCACCAAAACAACCACTCCGACATTATGGTGGGAATCGGGTTACTTTTTCAAGAATGTGACATGATTAAACATAAATGTTTGGGGTTATCTACACTCTAACACCAGAAAACAAAATTATGGTGTGTTCGCTTTGGCAACTCCTATAGCACATATCTTGTGACAAAAGAAACCCAGTGTGGACCAATAGTCTTTTTGCAATACACTACTCAGCATGTATACTCTTGATTACCTGCTCCAGATGCCCTATACAAGCTGTAATTTTTCTTTGTGCTGAGTATGTACTTGATAAAGATCACTTGTCAGTGAAACACTGTACCAATTGAAACTTAACTGTATTCTCTTTTTTCTTTTAAACAAAAATTGCTTAGCTAAAACAAAAGACATTTAGCTAATTAATAATAGGCTTTCATACCTGTTCTGAAAATCTTCAAGAATATTCTGAGCAGCAGCACTGCCACATTTTGACTCAAAGTTCTGGAATCCTGACCAGCTAGAGATGTATCCTGTTAGCTCAGCAACCGTTGTAGTTTTATCCACAAAGTGAGTATCATCCCTGTATCAGAGAGATAACTGTTACACAATATATTAGCTGCATATCTGAAAACAAGATACAGTAGTGATATATCTGAGGAATCTCTGCACAAGATTTTGATGCATGTATTATATCTACTATAGTTTAGGCTGCAGTGATACAGACTGAACAACAAAATGTGCACAATAAGGTGTTATGTACGTTTTTTTTTTTTTTTACCTCAATGGCTGTCTCACGCCAAGGCAGGGTGACCCAAAGAACACACATTCACTATCACTCATTCAATGGCCATTTTTCCCACTAACTTGTTTTATATTTTAAATAAGGTCTCACACCAAGGCTGGGTAACCCAGTAAAGTTAATACATTCAATATCATTCACTCAATCACTGTCTTGTCAGAAGTGTGCTGACAACACAATTCAGATTACCCTCTGACTACAACATCCCTACTCCTCCTACAGCGGACAAGTACTGCTCTTTCCACCTCCATTACTTATAAGTCTAGCTTACTTGTTTCTATGAATCACTTCATAAATGTTACCTAGCTCACACTCCAACAGCATGTCCATTAAAAGCCACTTGTGTTCTTTCACTCCTATCGAACAAGCTCGCACAATCCTGTTGTATGCTCAAGCTCCTAGCATTCAAAACCTCTTTTACCCCCTCTCTCCCTCCAACCTTTCCTAAGACAACCCCTGTCCCTCCTCCTCTCCACCCCAGATTTATATATTATTAGTCATCCAATTTTGGTCAATCCTCTCTAAATGTCAACTCCTCCTCAGCCCTCAGAATTATACCCTTGGTGATCCAACATTGCATTTAATTCTTATGCTCTAAATTCTATGTATGCCTTAACATGGTCACTTATCTCCTAAACATTATATGATTATATTATTATGTAGTATAATATGGGTTCTTAACTTTTTTACAGTTACAGGTCCCAATGGACTGCCCAATTATGTCCACATACCCCCTTAGCCAGACTGTTGAAATTATCACCATCACCAGTCCTATTAGGTACCAGTATGACTTCAAAAGATGTCAATAGCTTGGTTTTACTTTACATATGGATAACTAGGAACACCAGGACAGCTGAAATAACACCAAATGAATTTATATATTCATAGAAAAATGGCAAATTGTTCAGAGACGGAGTTCCATACCCTCATTATTTGGTTCCCATTCCTCAGCTAAGAACCCTTTCAGTATAACATAATAGTATCGTTGTGTAAGAAATGTTGTTTAACATATATTTTCAGTTCAAATATTTTTTTCTGGGAACCCCCAATTTAACACTTATAAAGGAAAGAGGGAAATTATTTCCCAGTAAAAGTAGGCCTTAGACAAGGATGTGTGATATCACCGTGGTTGTTTAATATATTTATAGATGGGGTTGTAAAAGAAGTAAATGCGAGGGTCTTGGCAAGAGGCGTGGAGTTAAAAGATAAAGAATCACACATAAAGTGGGAGTTGTCACAGTTGCTCTTTGCTGATGACACTGTGCTCTTGGGAGATTCTGAAGAGAAGTTGCAGAGAATGGTGGATGAATTTGGTAGGGTATGCAAAAGAAGAAAATTAAAAGTGAATACAGGAAAGAGTAAGGTTATGAGGAAAACAAAAAGATTAGGTGATGAAAGATTGGATATCAGATTGGAGGGAGAGAGATATGGAGGAGGTGAATGTATTCAGATATTTGGGAGTGGACGTGTCAGCGGATGGGTCTATGAAGGATGAGGTGAATCATAGAATTGATGAGGGGAAAAGGGTGAGTGGTGCACTTAGGAGTCTGTGGAGACAAAGAACTTTGTCCTTGGAGGCAAAGAGGGGAATGTATGAGAGTATAGTTTTACCAACGCTCTTATATGGGTGTGAAGCATGGGTGATGAATGTTGCAATGAGGAGAAGGCTGGAGGCAGTGGAGATGTCATGTCTGAGGGCAATGTGTGGTGTGAATATAATGCAGAGAATTCGTAGTTTGGAAGTTAGGAGGAGGTGCGGGATTACCAAAACTGTTGTCCAGAGGGCTGAGGAAGGGTTGTTGAGGTGGTTCGGACATGTAGAGAGAATGGAGCGAAACAGAGTGACTTCAAGAGCGTATCAGTCTGTAGTGGAAGGAAGGCGGGGTAGGGGTCGGCCTAGGAAAGGTTGGAGGGAGGGGGTAAAGGAGGTTTTGTGTGCGAGGGGCTTGGACTTCCAGCAGGCATGCGTGAGCATGTTTGATAGGAGTGAATGGAGACAAATGGTTTTTAATACTTGACGTGCTGTTGGAGTGTGAGCAAAGTAACATTTATGAAGGGGTTCAGGGAAACCGGCAGGCCGGACTTGAGTCCTGGAGATGGGAAGTACAGTGCCTGCACTCTGAAGGAGGGGTGTTAATGTTGCAGTTTAAAAACTGTAGTGTAAAGCAACCTTCTGGCAAGACAGTGATGGAGTGAATGATGGTGAAAGTTTTTCTTTTTCGGGCCACCCTGCCTTGGTGGGAATCGGCCAGTGTGATAATAAAAAAAAAAAATTAAAGTTGCCATTTTAGGAATCAACCCACAATGTAAAACGAAGCTTGCCTACATCTTTATCATTATTTTTGTCAGAAATTTTGTTAGTATTATAGTATTATTATATATATATGAAATTCAAGTTATAATCTAAGGCAATACATGTATTAAGTAGTATCAACAGAACTACACCGTAAAAAATTTTCAAAACTACAGAATTATGTAACAGAATCATAATTACTATAGTTATGAAACTATAACAGTTCTGGTAATTTATGCACACTACAGTTGTGAAGCAATGTCAACAGCCTCCTAACCTTGTAAAACTTGGGTAAGGTATGACAAACTTTTGGTCACTATATGAAGCATCAACATCTTTACGACCACTTCCCCAATAGCCTCCAGTCTCCCTCTCATACACCTTCAGAAGAGAGTAACTTCATTAATTTATTTCAAGACAAAAAATTACAGCACTACATTAAGTCCACAATCTTGTGGTTACAAATACAGGAGGTCCCCGCTTATACAGCAGCTCAGGTCCCAGGCTACCGCTGTATAGCAAAAAATAGCTGTGCAAATTCAGCCCCAAAAGAGTACAGATGCAATAATTCAGAGATAAATGGTATAAAATACCATCTCAACGGAAAAATAGATACTTATGAAGTACAATGCAATCCATTATTAACTACGTTTTGCCCACACAGTGGGCTTTATCAAGTCACAAACAGATCAGTCTATGACCTGTTAAGCCCACTGTGTGGGCAAATGTGGTCAATAAATGATCACATTATACTGCATTTATGTCCATTTCTTTCCAATACAGTTGGGCCCTGTTTATACAGTAGGTTAAGTTCTGGGCTACAGCTGTAGTGAAAATCACTCTAAAGGGAAACAATCTTTTTTTACTTTCAAAAGTATACAAAAGCCCGATAACGTGTTTACACTATTATATATTAAGTGAGCAACAGAGCTAGCAAAAAAAAGAAAAAAATGCATATACAGTACATATGTACCTTACACTTAGGTCACACTACACATACATGTACACATTTATTTATACACACTCATCTGAGTTTTCTTTGATTTTATCTTAATAGTTCTTGGTCTTATTACTTTTCCTTTTATATCCATGGGGAAGTGGAATAAGAATCTTTCCTCCGTAAGCCATGCGTGTTGTAAAAGTCAACTAAAATGCCGGGAACAATGGGCTAGTAACCCCTTTTCCTGTAAAGATTACTAAAAAGAATAAGAAGAAGAAAATTGTCAAAGTGGGAAGTCTGAATGTGCGTGGATGTTGTGCAGATGATAAGAAAGAGATGATTGTGGATGTTAAAGAATGAGAAGAAGCTGGATGTCCTGGCTTTAAGTGAAACAAAGCTGAAGGGGTGGGAGAGTTTCAGTGGAGAGGAATAAATGGGATTAGGTCAGGGGTTTAAAATAGAGTTAGAGCTAAAGAAGGATTAGCAATAATTTTGAAGGAAACTAGGCGGAAAAGGGGGACTATAAATGTATTAAATAAAGGGTTTTTTTGTGGAGTAAAAAAAGTTTGGGAAAATGTGAAAAGGGTTAAAAATTTAAGCTGTATCACCGGAAAAGAGAAGTTTAGGGGAGAGAGAAAATTTTGGGGAAATGTTATGAATGCGGGGGTTTTTTGGGAATCAAGTGTGAAAATAATTTTGGTTTGGGGGTTTTTTAATCTAAAGTGGGTAAAAATTTATGGGGGGAGTATTGGGTAAATTTGGGGTGCCGGGGGAAAATTTTAAAATGGGGAGCCTTTAATTGAGCAAAGTGAAAAAGAGATTTGGAATAATTAATACATATTTTATAAAAAAAGGGGAAAAAATAAATTTAAACAAGGTATGATGTACACTAATGAAAGAAATTTTATTAGTTTAATTTATTGGGGGGAAAAAAGGGTTTGATGGTAGGCCCGGGGATTTTCCCTTGTTTATAAAGGGGAAACTGATATATCGGATAAATTTTTTAAAGTTGTAGCTAAAATTTAAGTTTAAGAGGAAAAAGGGGGAAAAAAGGGAAGGGGCAACAACAAGTAAGGGGGAGGTAAAGGGGTATAAACAAGGGGGAAAAATTTTGGGGTTTAAAAAACCCCGACTATTGGCAGAAAGGTGGGCAAGTGCAAAGATGTTTAGGGGGGGGGGGGGGGGGGGGGTTGAAGGGGGTTTTGGAATATTTTTAAAAAACAGTATTAAAATGGGGGCAAAGCTTGGGGTTTTTGGGAGGGGGGGGGGCAGGGGGAAAGAGGATGATTGGTAAAAATGAAAAGTAAAGGGGGATAAAAAAAAAAAGGGGAGCTTATGAGGGGTTTTTTCCCAAAGCAAATTGTTATAAAAAAGGGCAGAGTAAGGGAAGTTAAAAGAAAGGAAAAAGGGAGTGCAAAAGGAAGATGAGGGTAGAGTTGGGGAGGCACTGTCAAAAAATTTAATGAAAATAAGAAAAATTTGGAGTTAAAAAAATTAAGAAAGCTAAATAAGTTTTTGGAAAAATTTTTCATTAAAAACAAGTTGGGTAGTTTGTTGGGGAAAGGAGGTAATTTGGTAAGGCGAAAAATTTTGAGAACTTTTTAAAAGTTTTAAAGGGAAAAAACAAGGGAGTAATTTTATGCACTGGTCAAGGGGGTAACCCTCTTTTAAGTGAAGAAGACAAAAATGTAAGTGGGGGGAGGGACAGAGGGATTTTCGTAAAATGAAAGGGGGGAAAGCAGCTGAAAATGATGGGGTCAGAAGAAATTTAAAAACAGGGGGGGGTATATGTTGGAAATGGTTGGACTTTTTTTTTAATAAATTTATGAAAAGGGGGAAAGGTAACCCAGAGGGGTTTGGGGGAAAAGCATGTATAGTTTCCCCTTTTAAAAAAAAAAAGGGGGCAAAATGACTGTAAAAAAATTTTAAGGAAAAGTTTACCGAGTAACCAGGGAAAAGTGTACGGTAAGGGGTTTTAATTGAAAAAATTAGAGGTAAAAAAATGTAGGGTTTTCGGATGAGCAAGGGGGTTTTTAGAGTGGGGAAGGGGGTGGTAATCAATTTTTTACATTTAAGCATAAAAATTTAAAAATAATTTTGATAAAGGGAGGGGAAATTTTTTATTGCCTTTATGGATTTTTGAAAAGGTATATGATAAAAGTGGGTAGAGGCAATGTGGCCGATTTTTCAAGTATATGGAATTTGGGGGTAAAAATTATTAAATGCTGTAAAAATTTTTAAAAAAGGGTAAGGAAAGGGTCAGTTAAAGGGTGTAAAAAGAGAGGGAGACAAATTCCCCCGGGAAAATTTGGTCTTAGACGGATGTTAAAAGTCACCATTTGGTTTTTAATATATTTAAAATTGGGGGTTTAAAGGGAAAAATCTAGGGGTTCGGAGAGGGGGGGATTAAAAATTTTGGGGGAAACAAATTCAAAATTTGGGAAATTTACACAGTTTCTTTTTTCTGAAGAAACTGTGCTTTTGGGGGATTCAAAGAAAAATTGCAAAGGGTTTGTGGGTAGTTTTGGGAAATTTTGTAAATAAAAGTTTTAAATGAACAAAGAAAAAGAGTAAAGTGATAAAGGGTCAAATGATTTAGATAAAGAAAAATTTTTTATCAAAAATTTGGGGGGGAGGAGTATGGAAAAAAGTGAAAAATTTTTTAGATTCTTGGGTTTTACGTTTCGGCGGGAAGGATTTATAAGGGGAGGTTAATCAAAGAATTTTATAGGGGGAAAAAAAATAGTGGGGGCTTGAGTATTGTGGAGTAAAAAACTTATCAGGGGGGCCCAAAAAGGAAAAGAAAAAGTAAAGTAGTACCAATCTCTTTTATGGGTGTGAAGCCCTTTGGGTTGGGAAATGCAAACAGCAGGGGAAAGGGGTTTGGGGCAAATGGAGAGTCCCGTTTTTAAGGGGAATGTGTGGTGTAAAAATTTTGCAGAAAATTCGGAGTGTGGAAATTAGGGAAAAAGGGGGGATTAAAAAAAAATACGTTTTTAGTCCAAAGGGGAAAAAAAAAGGGGTTTTTGAGGTTGGGTTTGGGGCATTTAGAGAGAATGGATCAAAGTAAAAGACATGGAAAAACATAAAATCAAAAGGGAAAGGGAAGGGGATTTGGGGGCGTCCTCGAAAGGGTGGGAGAGGGGGGAAAGGAGGTTTTTTTGGGGGAAGGGCTTTGGGCTTTCCCGCAAGCCCTGCGTTAACGGTTAGATAGGGGTGAAGGAAAACAATGGTACTTGGGGCCTGACGATTGTTGGATGTGAGCAGGAATATTTAGTGAAGGATTTTAGGGGAAAACCGGGTTTTTTTCCCTATAGTTAAATTGAGTCCAAAAAGGGAAGAAAATGCCTGCACTTTAAGAACATAAAACATAAAAACATAAGAAAAATGAACCCCTGGGAGGGGGGCCCCGCTGGCCCATACAGGCAGGCCCTTTTTCAATTCATCCCCACTAACAAAACATTGCCCCAAACCCCAATTTTTAATGGGCCCCCCAAAAATAAAACTCTGATTAAAGTCCCATCAAATCCCCAAACCCCCCCACTCATGTACTTATCCAACCAGATTTGAAAATACCCAAAGTCCCAGGGCCCCAATTTTAAACCCCAAATAGGTTTGAAATGTTTTTTACCCCCATCAACAAACCCAATTCCAAACCAAACTTTTTCCAAGCCCTTTCCCAAATCTTTTAAAATTTCTAATTTAAAACCATTACTGCGGGTTTTTCCTTGGGGAGAACCCCCAAGAAACCCATTAATATCCCTTTTTTTAAAACCAAAAAACCACTTATACACTTTTGATCAGGTCCCCCCTCATTCCCCGTCCCAACAAGTAATGTAACTTTTAAAGTAAATTTCCCTCTTTTTTCATAAGGAAATTTCTAATCATGATTTTAGGCTCCTACCTGAATGTTTCTAAGAATTTATTTTCCCTTTTGGGAATAAAGGAACCAGAACTGAGCGCATAATCTAGGTGAGGCCTTTCTAAAGAAAGTATAAAAATGCAGTATGAACCCCTGGGCTTCTGTTGCTTTCCTTCTTTATATAAATTCCCCGTAAACTATTTTTCCTTATTACGTACGCTTAGGGGATGTGTCTTTGGGTTTTTTGGGTTTCTGCCACCAAACCCCCCCAATCCTTTTTTGCAAACTGTATGGGTAAGTTCTACAAACATTTAACTTATAAGTACTAGGGTTTTGGGACTCCCAAGCTTCAGAAAACCCGGGATTTACTACCTTTAACTGCATCTGCCACTTTTTTTACCAAGAATAATTTTTTTAAATCCCCCTAAATTTCCCAAAAACTACTTTGAAAACAAATTAACCCCACCTATCTTTGTGTCTTTGGCGAATTTGGGTCATATCACAATTTAAATTTCCCCCACAAATCATTGATTATATTTTAAACAACAACGGGGGCCAAACGATCCCTGTGGAACCCACTTGTTACAGATCCCACTCATTTTAACCCCATTTATGGACACTCCCCTGCTTCCCTTTTAAATGAACCATGACCCCGATCCCCCGGGGACACTTTTTTTTCCCCCCAAAGCCATGAGCTTTTTACTTTCCTTTTAAAATTTTATGGTCAAATCCCATCAAAACCTACTAAAAACCAAATAAATAATTCAATTCTTTTTTGTGGTCAAAAAGCCTCAAAAGCTTACTGAAAAAATTTTAAAAAAATTAGTTAACCAAGACCGGCCCTTGTGAAACCATGCTGAGTTTTCCCTAAAACAAACTATGCTTATCGAGAAAGGGTTCTTAAATCCACTATAATTGACTTTTAAATAATTTTGCCAAAAATTTTAGTCAGGGTTATTGGGGGTTAAATTTTACGGAAAAGACTTGTCCCCTTTTTAAAAAGGAAACTACATTACCCCTCTTCCACATATTTAACACCAAAAAAACCTGTTTTTAAAAAGTTTAAATTTTAAAAAAATTATTAATGGTTCACAAGTTCCATTTTGGGATTCCTTAAGAAACCCTTTAAAAAAAACCCCAACAGGAAAACCCCACTTATTTTGCTTCATCCCCTATTTTGCTTCACAATCATCTCACTTGTGGGGCTGTGATGTTCATAATTTAACTTCTTCTAAACTCCCCTGTAAAAATTAATTACTGGAATAAAGGGTTTGTGTTTTTCCTGTGTAAAAAAATGGGAAAATAATTATTTAAAAAACAAACACATTCATTCTCTTTTTTCCCTAAGGGGCCAATTATTTTTAAGGGGCCTATCTTATCCTTAACTTTTTTTCTAAAAGACCGGAAAAAAATTTTTTTTTTTAGTTTTAAAAATTCCCCACAACTTTTAAATTTTATAGTCCCCTTTTTGCTTTTCCCTTTTCCCCTTTTTAATTTTCCCTCTTTAAAGTCAATATACTGATTTATAAGATGACCCCCTCACCCTTTTTATACGCCCCATAAATTCCTTTTCTTATCCCAATAGATATTTGAGCCTATTATTCATCCATTTTGGTCATTTCTATTTGATCTAATTTCTTTATATGGGATAAACGCTCTTTGAGCAGCATGTATAGTGTTCAGAAAACTGTCATATTGATAGCTCTCTTCGTTACCCCAGTCAACAGATGATAAGTGTTCTCTAAGCCCATCGTAGTCTGCTAAGCGAAAATCTGGGACTGTTACTGAGTTATCGCTACTATCGTACTTCCATTCAATGCTAAATGTAATTGATTTGTGGTCGCTAGCACCCAGTTCCTCTGAAATTTCTAAATTATTAACAAGGATTCATTGTTTGCCATAACTAAGTCAAGTAGGTTATTTCCCCTTGTAGGTTCTGTCACAAACTGCTTCAAAAAACAATCCTGAAATACTTCTAAGAAGTCGTAATGATTCTAAATTCCCAGTCAAGAAATTCCAATCAACATGACTAAATTTTTAAAGTCTCCTAGGATTACTACATTATCGTGCCTTGTGCCTTAAAAATTTTCCTCCCATAGTAGTTTCCCTTGGTCCCTATCTAAGTTTGGGGGACGGTATATCACTCCTAAAATCAGTTTTTCATGCCCCTCTGAAAATTCTATCCAAACAGACTCTGTATGTGTTACTTCAGACTTAATACCCGTTTTTATGCAACAGTTCAAGCGATCTCGGACATACAATGCCACCCCACCCCCCTTCCCAATACTTCTATCTTCTTGGAACAATTTAAAACCCTGAATATGACATTCCACAGGCATGTCCCGACTTTTTGAATTAAACCACGTCTCAGTTAAGGCAAATACATCAATGTTACCTACACTAGCAACTAAAGGAGGGGTTTGGGATAAAGGCAGTTTGGAGGGATATGTTGTGTATCTTTATATGTGTATGCTTCTAAACTGTTGTATTCTGAGCACCTCTGCAAAAACAGTGATAATGTGTGAGTGTGGTGAAAGTGTTGAATGATGATGAAAGTATTTTCTTTTTGGGGATTTTCTTTCTTTTTTGGGTCACCCTGCCTCGGTGGGAGACGGCCGACTTGTTGAAAAAAAAAAATGTACCTTACCTTAAAATATTTTCATCATTGGCTTATAGTGAATGGTGAATGTATTTATTGTAAGAAGTCTGAGTAAATGAAGAATGAATATCCTTGAAAAACCACTGTATTAGCAAAACACTAAGTGAGGCACTGTAAAGCAGGTCAGCCTTTAATTAAAATAGACTATACAAGACCTGATAAGAGTGAATACAAAATTGGCATAATTACAAAAACCTTTGACACTACTGTTCACAGCAGTTTTCTAAAACTGAAGCACTATGAGCTTAGAAGTCGCTCCTATAACTACCTGTACATGGAATACTACTACTGAAGTATCAGATTACAACATATAAACAAATGATATTACCATGTCTATTTTTTAAACACAAGCCATCTTCCACTGAGGTAGGGTGACCTGAAAAAGCAGAAACACTTTCCCTATCACACACTCCATCACTGTCTTGCCAGAGGCATGCTGATACTACAGTTCAGATGCCCCTCCAAACTGCAATATCCTCATCCCTCCATCAGAGTGCAGGCACTGAACTTCCCACCTTCAGGACTCAAGTCCACAAACTTGTTTCCCTGAATCCCTTCATGTTACCTTCCTCACACTCCAACAGTACCTCATGTCATAAAAACCACTTGCCTCTGATCCCTTGTCTCACACACACCTGTTGCATGTCCAAGACCCTCACATACAAAACTTCATTTACCACCTAGCTCCAACCTCTCCTCAGACAATCCCTACCCCAAATGACACTCCTTACCCCAAATGACACTCCTTACCCTATACCACTCTTTAATATATCCTACCTCACCTATGGTATTTGTGCTTGGGGATCAACCACAGCCAACCACCTTAAACCTTTAATAACCAACAAAAAGCTGTTGTGTGGATAACCAGCTCCTGTGTTAGACAGCACACCCCACCACTTTTCAAAAGCCTGAACTTGCTAAATATCCGAGACATACACTAATATTATTGTGCCTACTGTATACACAGACATTAAACTCCAAATATGAACCCTCCACTTAAACTTCTCCTTGGTATCTACAACAGAACGCACAGTCACAATACAAGACATAAGGCACTCTTCGACATCCCTCGTGTCAGTCTCACACTATGCAAAAATGCAATGCACATAGAGGGCCCAAAGATCTTGAATTCACTACCTGAACTGGTAAAGGATCCCCTGACTACTTATAAATTTAGGACTTGGCTTAAAAATCATCTCATCTCTCAATACTAACCAAACCAACCAAAACAACTTCTAATCAGTTATATTATATGACCTATGGTCTATTAAACATCTGCCAATCCATGAAATATTACTGATTGAACCATTAATTATAATAGTGTCTTTATTATGTGCAACTTCAAGATTATTATTCTCATAAGCCTCCACCTTGACTACCTCGCATTAGTTCTTATGTTCTTATTCTGTTAGTGGGTTGGATTTGTGAAGGACCTGACTAGTATGGGCCAACAGGCCTACTGCAGTGTTCCTCTTTTCTTATGTTCTTATGTGTTTAATGAAAGTTAACCACTCATCTTCTCTAGATTTAAGTAGTTATTATGTACTAGGATTAGTCTGCTCGAAATGCCCCGGCATGATAGTGGCGTTCTTTGTACTTAGCAAACCAAAATTGTAATACACATTGTAACCTTTACAAAGAAATAAAATCTTTATTCTTTACCCAGCCTTCCATCCACCACAGATTTATACACCCTCCAAGTCATTCTATTTTGCACCATCCTTTCTAAATGTCCTACCTCAACAACCCCTCCTCAGCCCTCTGAATAATCTAAATAATCCATGGAGACAGAGAAGAGAATGTATGAAAGTATAGTGATACCAACACTCATATGAGTATGAAGTATGGATTGTAAATGCTGCAGCAAGGAGGAGGCTGGAGGCAGTGGAGATGTCATGTCTAAGGGTGTGGTGTAAAGATTATGCAGAGAATTCATAGTGTGGAAATTAAGAGGTGTGGAGTTACTAAAAGTTGAGGAGGGGTTGTTGAGGTGGTTTGGTCATTTAGAGAGGATGGAACAAAATAGGATGACTTGGAAGGTGTATAAGTCTGTAGTGGAGGGGAAGGGTAGGGGTCGCCCTAAGAAAGGATGAAAGGAGGGGGTAAAAGATGTTTTGTGTGCAAGGGGCTTGTACATGCAGCAGGCAAGTATATGAGCGTGTTAGATAGAAGTGAATAGAGAGGAATGGTTTTTGGGACCTGATGAGCTGCTAGAGTCTGAGCAGGGTAATATTTTGTGAAGGGATTCAGAGAAACCAGTCAGCCAGATTTGAATCCTGGAGGAGGGAAGTACAATGCCTGCACTTTGAAGGAAGGGTTTAGGGTACTGGCCATTTGGAGCGACATCTAAACTGTAGTATCTGAGCACATCTGCAAGGACAGTGATTATGTGTGAATGATGGTGAAAGTGTTACTTTCTTTTTTAGGTCACTCGGCCTGGGTGGGAGACGGCCGAGGTGTTGAAAAAAATGTAGGATTTCTTAAGATATCATTTCCACTTTTTTTAATGATTATCCCCAAAGTTGTAACAATTAGACCTGTTACTGAGATAACCTCGACAATTTTGCAACAGGACTTTAAAGTACAATTCACAGATGGGAAAGTTTGTGAATACACAACTCCTGGATATTGAAAGAATTTACAAATTTATATGCTTGGTAACAAGAATGAATCACCTCCACCTAGTCTAAATTTTAGAATTGTATAATTACTGGTAAAGTATGACTGATTCTGGTACAGAGATAAACTAATTCAGTATAGTTCACCCACCTGATTTCCAAGACGTCATCATAGATTAACTTGTACTTGTCTGCCCCATACTGCTCTAGATACACCTCTTTACTCCCTTGGTGAATATAGCCATTCAGTTCACTTATATACATCTATGGTTTAGAGAAAGGTACAGACCGGTAGATTATGTGTGATTTAGTAAAGCAAGAATATGGTACTGTACATAGTCTACAAGCCAGTTTATCTTGCATAAACAAGAGATATTAATTTAAAGTTTTTCTGCTGCATTTATTTAAACTCTGGATTGTGCAGTTTAGCAAGTAGCAGAATTATAAATCTTACATAAATATCTTCCATCATTATACTGTATCTATAGCAATCTTAATAAACAAAACAAAACACATATGATAAGCATATGTAAAAATACAAGTAAACATTTATGCCACAGTTGGTTTTTGCTAATGACATGGTTCTTCTGGGAAATTATGAAGAAAATTTGCAAACATTAGTGGAAGAATTTGGGAGGGTATATAAAAGAAGGAAATTAAAGGCAAATATAGGAAAGAGCAAGGTGATGCGAGTAACAAAAAATCTAGGCAATGAAAGAGTGCATATCAGACTGGAGGGAGTGAGTATGGAAGAAATACAGGTGTTCAGATACTATTTGGAAATGGGCTTGTCAGCAGATGGGTCTATGAAAGATGAGGTGAACCATGGATTGTTGAGGCAAAAAGATAGATGGTACATTGAGGCATCTGTGGAGACAAAACTTTATCTATGGAGGCCAACAAAAAAGGGAGGAATAAACCAAAGTATGTTTGTACTAACACAGTTATATGGGTGTGAAGCATGGGTTTTAAACATTGCAGTGAGGTGGAGGCTGGAGGCTCTGGAGATGTCATTTTTAAGCACAATGTGTGGTGTGAATACAGCTCTCCTCATTTAATGATGGAGTTCCGTTACTAAGACCATGTTGGTAAACAAATTCGTTGCTAAATAAGCAGCATACTACAATGGTAGTGGGTTTGTGTCAACCATTTTTGATATTTTAATGTCACCTTTGCACAATTTATAACATTTCTAGTATATTTTTAAATGTTTATACAGTAGTGTACCATATATTGTAATAAACAGTATAGAGGAACTCTGCTCTAATATACATTATTTAGATATGCATACTGGTCAAAGAGCCCATCGTAAGTCTGAGTTGTTGGTAAACGAGTACATTGCTAAGTGAGGAGAGGCTGTATTACAAAGAAAATTCTGACTTTGGTGATTAGGTTTGGGGTTACTATAAGTAAAACTGAGAGGACTGAGGAGGGGTTATTGAGGTGCTTTGGATATTTAGAGAGGATGGATGGATTTGCATGTGAGCATGTATCTCTGGGGTGAAGGGAAAGAGCAGTAGGGGTTGTCCCAGGAAGGGTGGAAGGGAGGAGAAATAGGGGTTGTCCAAAGGACAATCAGAAGAAAATGGGGGTTGGGGGTAAAGGTGGTTTGGAGTGCTAGGAGTCTGAACAACCAACAAGCTTCTGTGGGTTGAGGCAAGTGGTTTTCATGGCTTGATCTGCTGCTGTTGCATAAGCAAGGTCCCATTTATGAAGGTATTTAGGGAAAATGGTTAGACAGACTTGAATCCTGGAGGTATGAAGTACAGTGAGGATGCTGCAGGTCAGAGGGACAATCTCAGCTGTAATGTTAGCAAGCTTCTGGCAACACAGCAAATGAATGAATGATGGTAAATGTATTTCCTCTTTCTTTAACCATCCTACCTTGATGGGATACAGCTGGTGTGTTAAAATAAATATTTAAGCTCCATATATAAATGCATACATGTAAAATACTAGAGAGAAACTATGTATGTATGAATGTGTAAGTCCCATATATACCCAAAGGTTTGTGTATATATAAAATTTATGACAAATTATATGAAGTACTGAAGATGGGACAGAAAAAGCATAGCTCTGCTCCTGTAACTACAAATACATAATTACTGTAATAGTGGATGGTATGGGAATACCATATTATCTATTACATGACTTGATCAACTATGCAACTACCGCACAAGTAAATTAGTATAGTATACACACTATACTCACATGGTTAACAATCTGATACAACTTTTCAGTGAGATCTCCATGGATGGGCTGTGGGAACAAATATCCATAAAGCGCAAGGACACCCCCTGAAATATAAGCACAAAGGATCTGAAAGGTTAGTGAAGAAAATATGTAAAATACTTCTCTAAAATTTATGTAAGTTTATTTAGGTACAGGTACACACAAGCACAATTATCGTACACAGTAATATACATGTAAATTACCTAGGATAACTCCCCAAAAATCAAAGTGACTTGTGTATTTCCATTGAGGTTATGTTATGTTCACTTTTTCTAAAGCTTTGTCTTCCTCGGACTGGTTACTCAGTACAGACATATCTTTTACTGTTGAATACTGCTTGCAATACTGAAAAATTTAGCATGTTTACTTAGAACTAATATTGTACTTATGTTTCCATGGTACAGGTCTCAATATCAAAATGAGGACTTTTTCTTGTTGCAATTTCACTGGCTGCAATTTTTTTTAAACATCCTGTGGTGTGTTCTGACATCTGAGATTATTTTTTTATTTTTTTTTTATTGAAACATCGGCTGTTTCCCACCGAGGCAGGGTGACCCAAAAAAGAAGAAACACTTTCATCATCATTCACTCCATCACTGTCTTGTGCCTACAATACAGTTAAAAAACTGCAACACATCAGCACCCCTTCTTCAGAGTAAAGGTACCGTACTTCCCACCTCCAGTACTCAAGCCCAGCTAACTGATTTTCCTGAATCCCTTCATAAAGGGAGACAAACCCACACATTTTTAGTCCATATATGTGTATTATACCATAAATAATATAAAAAAATGGATACAACAGCATAGAGATAACTGATATACTGGTATTATCTCTGTTAATATTTTATATATAGTGGACCCCCAGTTATCAGCCATTCCTGTTATCGGCCAACTCTGTTATAGGCTGGTTTTTTGGCTACTGGTTATCGGCCATTATTTCACTTATTGGCCATATTGGACGCATCCCTCCGCCGGCTGGGCCAGCTTGCGTGTCAGTTTAGCTGTGTCTCTCGGTGCGTGAGGAAACTTCTGCTCATCCTTCCAAACATTTCGCTTTTTTCATTTTTTTGGTATTTTTTTGTCAGTGCAACTGTGAAATAAGTAACCATGGCTCCAAAAAAAAGTTCCTAGTAAAGTTCCTGCAGCAAAGAAAATGAGAAACACCATGCCTGGAGTTTACCTGGAGAGAGTTCCGGGGGTCAACGCCCCCGCGGCCCGGTCTGTGACCAGGCCTCCTGGTGGATCAGAGCCTGATCAACCAGGCTGTTGCTGCTGGCTGCACGCAAACCAACGTACGAGCCACAGCCCGGCTGATCCGGAACTGACTTTAGGTGCTTGTCCAGTGCCAGCTTGAAGACTGCCAGGGGTCTGTTGGTAATCCCCCTTATGTGTGCTGGGAGGCAGTTGAACAGTCTCGGGCCCCTGACACTTATTGTATGGTCTCTTAACGTGCTAGTGACACCCCTGCTTTTCATTGGGGGGATGGTGCATCGTCTGCCAAGTCTTTTGCTTTCGTAGTGAGTGATTTTTGTGTGCAAGTTCGGTACTAGTCCCTCTAGGATTTTCCAGGTGTATATAATCATGTATCTCTCCCTCCTGCATTCCAGGGAATACAGGTTTAGGAACCTCAAGCGCTCCCAATAATTGAGGTGTTTTATCTCCGTTATGCGCGCCGTGAAAGTTCTCTGTACATTTTCTAGGTCGGCAATTTCACCTGCCTTGAAAGGTGCTGTTAGTGTGCAGCAATATTCCAGCCTAGATAGAACAAGTGACCTGAAGAGTGTCATCATGGGCTTGGCCTCCCTAGTTTTGAAGGTTCTCATTATCCATCCTGTCATTTTTCTAGCAGATGCGATTGATACAATGTTATGGTCCTTGAAGGTGAGATCCTCCGACATGATCACTCCCAGGTCTTTGACATTGGTGTTTCGCTCTATTTTGTGGCCAGAATTTGTTTTGTACTCTGATGAAGATTTAATTTCCTCATGTTTACCATATCTGAGTAATTGAAATTTCTCATCGTTGAACTTCATATTTTTTCTGCAGCCCACTGAAAGATTTGGTTGATGTCCGCCTGGAGCTTTGCAGTGTCTGCAATGGAAGACACTGTCATGCAGATTCGGGTGTCATCTGCAAAGGAAGACACGGTGCTGTGGCTGACATCCTTGTCTATGTTGGATATGAGGATGAGGAACAAGATGGGAGCGAGTACTGTGCCTTGTGGAACAGAGCTTTTCACCGTAGCTGCCTCGGACTTTACTCTGTTGACGACTACTCTCTGTGTTCTGTTAGTGAGGAAATTATAGATCCATCGACCGACTTTTCCTGTTATTCCTTTAGCACGCATTTTGTGCGCTATTACGCCATGGTCACACTTGTCGAAGGCTTTTGCAAAGTCTGTATATATTACATCTGCATTCTTTTTGTCTTCTAGTGCATTTAGGACCTTGTCGTAGTGATCCAATAGTTGAGACAGACAGGAGCGACCTGTTCTAAACCCATGTTGCCCTGGGTTGTGTAACTGATGGGTTTCTAGATGGGTGGTGATCTTGCTTCTTAGGACCCTTTCAAAGATTTTTATGATATGGGATGTTAGTGCTATTGGTCTGTAGTTCTTTGCTGTTGCTTTACTGCCCCCTTTGTGGAGTGGGGCTGTCTGTTGTTTATAGTAACTGTGGGACAACCCCCGTGTCCATGCTCCCTCTCCATAGGATGGAAAAGGCTCGTGATAGGGGCTTCTTGCAGTTCTTGATGAACACAGAGTTCCATGAGTCTGGCCCTGGGGCAGAGTGCATGGGCATGTCATTTATCGCCTGTTCGAAGTCATTTGGCGTCAGGATAACATCGGATAGGCTTGTGTTAATCAAATTTCGTGGCTCTCTCATAAAAACTTCATTTTGATCTTCGACTCTCAGTCTGGTTAGCGGCTTGCTAAAAACTGAGTCATATTGGGACTTGAGTATCTCACTCATTTCCTTGCTGTCATCTGTGTAGGACCCATCTTGTTTAAGTAGGGGCCCAATACTGGACGTTGTTCTCGATTTTGATTTGGCATAGGAGAAGAAATACTTTGGGTTTCTTTCGATTTCATTTATGGCTTTTAGTTCTTCCCGCGATTCCTGACTCCTAAAGGATTCTTTTAGCTTAAGTTCGATGCTTGCTATTTCTCTGACCAGTGTCTCCCTACGCATTTCAGATATATTGACCTCTTTTAGCCGCTCTGTTATTCTTTTCCGTCACCTGTAAAGGGAGCGCCTGTCTCTTTCTGTTTTACATCTACTCCTCCTTTTTCTTAGAGGAATAAGCCTTGTGCATACATCGAGTGCCACCGAGTTAATCTGTTCTAGGCATAAGTTGGGGTCTGTGTTGCTTAGTATATCTTCCCAGCTTATATCGGTTAGGACTTGGTTTACTTGGTCCCACTTTATGTTTTTGTTATTGAAGTTGAATTTGGTGAATGCTCCCTCGTGACTAGTCTCATTATGTCGGTCTGGGGCTCCACGCATACATGTCTGAACCTCAATTATGTTGTGATTTGAGTATATTGTTTTTGATATGGTGACATTTCTTATCAGATCATCATTGTTAGTGAAGATGAGGTCTAGTGTATTCTCCAGTCTAGTAGGCTCTATTATTTGCTGGTTTAAATTGAATTTTGTGCAGAGATTTAAAAGCTCGCGTGAGTGTGAGTTTTCATCAGAGCTGCCTCCTGGTGTTATTACTGCAACAATATTATTTGCTATATTCCTCCATTTTAGGTGCCTTAAGTTGAAATCCCCCAGGAGCAAGATGTTGGGTGCAGGAGCTGGAAGGTTTTCCAGACAGTGGTCAATTTTTAACAGCTGTTCCTGGAATTGCTGGGATGTTGCATCCGGAGGCTTGTAGACTACCACAATGACTAGGTTTTGGTTCTCGACCTTTACTGCTAAAACTTCCACTACATCATTTGCGAGAAGTTATTGAAAAATGTGAGTGGTGTGAGGGTGCTGGAACTTGCCAGAATGTACCGGAAAAATAAATCTACCGTCACTTCCATCCTGACAAAGAAAGAACAAATCAAGGAAGGTGATGTTGCAAAAGGAGTAAATGTGATTATGAAACAAAGGTCACCAATAATGGGAGAAATGGAAAAGTTATTGTTATTGTGGATTAAGGAAAAACATTTAGTGGGAGACACTGTTCTGCAGTTGATTATTTGTGAGAAGGCAAGGCAGTTGCATGAGAATCTTGTGAAGAAAACTCCTGGAACAAGTGGTGCTGTTAGTGAATTTAGAGCCAGCAAAGGCTGGTTTGCAGTAAGGCACAGTGAGGCTGCCTTAATCTTCAGTAAAGGTATATAATACCTTTACTGAAGGATTAATTGTATTTACATTAATTCTTATTTGAATAATTATCTCGGTTATTGGCCATTTTGGTTTTAAGCCGAGCTTCTGGTATGGATTATGGCTGATAACTGAGGGTTCACTGTATTGGCATAAGGTATAGCTGGTTATTTTTTTCTAATAAACAACAATTTAATTTGACTACACCTAACCTAACCTACATAGCAAAATAGAAATCTGTTGAGAACTACATATGATAAATCAACTAGGATTTGCAAGGGCAGGCTGCAAATACATGTATATATAGAAGTCTTTTAAACTTTGTATTTTTCCTGTGCATTAGCATTCACCAAATTTTATATTTGTCATAATTCACTTACCAGGTACAAGAACTCTATCTACTTCCTTGTAGAACACTGGCAGATCAAACCAGTGACAAGCCTGGCCTGCAGTGATCAACTGCAGGCTATTGTTAGAGAACGGTAGCTTCTCTGCACTACTGGTTCTAGAAAGCCCATAAAATATAACTTTAGATAAAGAATTTAGTAAGGATTATTTGAATTACTTACAGTACTCCTTCATACCTGTCCTATCTCACATACTGCTACTCTCATTATCAGCTGCTACATACACTTTTTCACTGTATTACCACATTAAGTTCAAATTGGTGCCCCATGGCCAGGTGGCAAAAGCTCTCACTTCACAAGGTGAGGGTCTGGGTTCGATTCCAGGCGAAGGGGTGGGAACATTGGACATGTTTCCTTACGCAGGTTGTCTATGTTCACCCATCAGTAAAATGGGTACCTGGGTGTCAGTCAACTTGTTTGGGTCACATCCTGGGGCAAAACTGACCTAATTTGCTCGAAATGCTCAGCATAACAAGGAGGTTTCTATAGAGTAGTATGTCATTGATGTCAGCTAGGCCTGTATACCTTGTATATGTACTTGTAGAAATAAAGATATTCTTTCTTTCTTTCAACGCACCAGCCATATCCTACTGAGGTGGGGTGGCCCAAAAGGAAAAACGAAAGTTTCACCTTTTAAATTTAGTAATATATACAGGAGAAGGGGTTACTAGCCCCTTGCTCCCAGCATTTTAATCGCCTCTTACGACACGCATGGCTTACGGAGGAAGAATTCTATTCCACTTCCCCATGGAGATAAGAGGAAATAGACAAGAACAAGAACTAGAAAGAAAATAGAAGAAAACCCAGAGGGGTATGTATATATATGCTTGTACATGTATGTGCAGTGTGACCTAAGTGTAAGTAGAAGTAGCAAGAAGTACCTGAAATCTTGCATGTGTATGAAACAGAAAAAAAGGACACCAGCAATCCTACCATCATGTAAAACAATTAAAGGCTTTTGTTTTACACTCACTTGGCAGGACGGTAGTACCTCCCTGGGCAGTTGCTGTCTACCAACCTTCTACCTAGGATAAAGATATTATTATTGTACTACAACAATGTATTTCAATTTAAATATATTTAATGAATCATAATAGATACTAACAGGAATGCAAGAAAGTGTGTGACAAGCAGTGAAAGATAAAAGACATCTGTAATGTTTTGCAAGCATATTGGAAGGCTGGTATATCATTAAAGGTTTACAATACAAACAAACTAATGAATGCAATTAATAAAAGTTAGCTACCTCCCCTTTTATATTTATTTGGGTCTTGTGGTTCTACATTAAAGGGTGTGGCATTTTGGTAGATTGAAAGAGATTAAAAGGATATAATTGTTTTTATTTAGGTAGTAGGTTAGTAAACAGCAACCGCCCAGGAAGGCACTACCGTTCTGCCAAGTGAGTGTAAAACAAAAACCTGTACAGTAATTGTTTTACATGATGGTAGGATTGCTGGTGTCCTTTTTTCTGTCTCATAAACATGCAAGATTTCAGGTACGTCTTGCTACTTCTATTTACACTTAGGTCACACTACACATACATGTACAAGCATATATATACACACATCCCTCTGAGTTTTCTGCTATTTTCTTTCTAGTTCTTGTTCTTGTTTATTTCCTCTTATCTCCATGGGGAAGTGGAACAGAATTCTTCCTCCGTAAGCCATGCGTGTTGTAAGAGGTGACTAAAATGCCAGGGGCAAGGGGCTAGTAACCCCTTCTCTTGTATAAATTACTAAATTTAAAAAGAGAAACTTTCGTTTTTCTTTTTGGGCCACCCCACCTTGGTGGGATACAGCCAGTTTGCTGAAAAAAAAAAAAGTTTTTATAATTTGCTATTTACTATATGTTTTGATTGCAAATGTCCAAAAATATTCTGATGAAAGCAACTTTGTGGAGCATTCCTTACCAAGTGATCTTAATGTACATGTATATCAATCTCAATCTTTGAGAAAAGTGCATTTCAACTGATCTATTCCCTGTCATTAGTTTAATACAGTAACTTTGATAAAGAAAATACAATTTAGCATTAGATTTACCTTAAGACTAAAAATATTAATTTTAAAGTCACTTTGTGACTTGATATGCTGAACAAAAAATTTATCTTGATGCAATAATTATACAAGCCTGACCAAAAAAAAACATATTTCTCTGAACATAGAGGAGTACATATATAATTTTTTTTACACAAATAGAATTGAGGTTTGGTACAATTATGGATGCTAAAATCAATATTCAGTGAGTAAGAAGATTTCCTGAAAAAGGAAAAATAAAACATAGACAACTGATAAAAAAATTCTCATATAAATGTACAAGCAATAAAAGCGAGTGACTAAGTTAAACGACTCTCTAGAGCAACTGTATATCATTGGCACAAGAGGTAGAATGACAAGTTACAGCAAAGTAAACTAATGCTGATGACCAAAGAATGCTTGACAACCTCCAGAATTACCCAGTTACAAATGCAGTCACTATATGAGATTGTCTGCAGGTTAGTATATTGGTCCAGACTACTGAGTGATGTTTACAGGAGAATGGATTATTGCTGATTATTACTGCTGATGACATGATGCTTTTGGGAGATTCTGAAGAGAAGTTGCAGAGGTTGGTGAATGAATTTGGAAAGGGATGTAAAAAAAGAAAATTAAAAGTGAATATAGGAAAGAGTAAGGTTATGAGGATAAAAAGATTAGGTGATGAAAGACTGGATATCAGATTGGAGGGAGAGAGTATGGAGGAGGTGAATGTATTCAGATATTTAGGGAGTGAACGTGTCAGCAGATGGGTCTATGAAGGATGAGGTGAATCACAGAATTGATGAGGAGAGAAGGGCGAGTGGTGCACTTAGGAGTCTGTGGAGACAAAGGACTTTGTCCGTGGAAGGTAAAAGGGGAATGTATGAGAGTATAGTGGTAACAACACTCTTGTATGGGTGTGAAGCATGGGTGATGAATGTTGCAACGAGGAAAAGGCTGGAGGCAGTGGAGATGTCATGTCTGAGGGCATGTGGTGTGAATATAATGCAGAGAATTCATAGTTCGGAAATTAGGAGAAGGTGTGGGATTACCAAAACTATTATCCAGAGGGCTGAGGAGGGGTTGTTGAGGTGGTTCGGACATGTAGAGAGAATGGAAAACAGAATGACTTCGAGAGTGTATAAATCTGTAGTGGAAGGAAGGCGGGGTAATGGTTGGCCTAGGAAGGGTTGGAGAGGGGGTAAAGGAGGTTTTGTGTGCGAGGGGCTTGGACTTCCAGCAAGCAAGCATGCATGAGCGTATTTGATAGGAGTGAATGGAGACAAATGGTTTTTAATACTTGACATGCTGTTGGAGTGTAAGCAAAGTAACATTTATGAAGGGATTCAGGGAAATCAGCAGGCCAGACTTGAGTCCTGGAAATGGGAAGTACAGTGTCTACACTCTGAAGGAGGGGTGTTAATGTTGCAGTTTTATAACTGTAGTGTAAAGCACCCCTCTGGAAAGACAGTGATGGAGTGAATGATGATGAAAGTTTTTCTTTTTCGGGCCACCCTGCCTTCGTGGGAATCAGCCGATGTGTTAATAAAAAACAAATAAAAAATATTACTGAGTATTTGATTATTACTGATAACTGATTATTTTATTGTTGTTGACTATTTTATCATTGTTAATTATCTTAAAAGGTTCCTTGATCCAGGGGTGAATACTTAAACCTGGTCTATGAAATGGCTAAAATACTATTTCGGATGTTTTATTAGTGAATAGTGTTACTAGTTTTCAGTGACAGAATATGGAAGGTACTCAGCAGCCACACTCTGTCCTCCTTTTCCATCCTTTCCTGACAGATGCCTCATCAGTGAAGGAAACAGAGTTGAGATGATCAATTTCATCTTGTAATACTTTTAGTAAATGCATTACAATTTCTAATTAAAATGTAATAAAGTACTGTACAGTACTTGAAAGAAATCATTTATACTCACACAAAGGAGACATTTGGTTTTGTATTTAGTTTAATGGCCTCAGAAGTCTGAGCTGGAGAAACATCAAGACCCGTAACAGAGGTAAAGTGAGGACTCAAGATCTGTGTACTCTGACCCGAACCACAGCCAACATCAGCAGCAGCTCTCAGAGATCCTTCATACTGAAATATTAACAATACAAATGACTACAATACCTCCTCCCTCATGTATACATAATAAATGTGTTAATATTGAGAACATATATTATTGTTTATTTTTCTGGAATTACTTAAGCAGCAGTACATAATTGTTTATAGAGTGAACTAAGTCCAATTAATTCTTAAGGCTCTTTAAAGATGCTCCAAACAGTGAACTTATATTTTGGTGGCTGTCAATGTCAGTAATAACAACTGTACCACTTGTCTGACTAGAAGTACTTTATCATATCATATATCTTGACTACAACACCAAAGATATGATATGAACCTCATACTATTATGCAACAATTTCTCCAGTACAAAATCTTAACAGGAGAGTAAGGGAAGTGTTTGATATTCAAAGAAAGATTCTCTAGAGTCACAAGAGAAGTGAGTGATTATAATTATAATGACGGGGGAAGTACCAAACCCATAGAACCACACAGCACTTGGGGAATGGGTGGAAAAGGAGGTTAGCTCCAATTCTTTGAATCAACAGCCAATCACCAGTAACTACAAGTGAGAAAGACCCAAAATTCTACAAAAAATTACACTTATGCAGTACAGTACATGTACTGTGTTTAGGCACAAGGTCTGTAATGCATCCCCTCAATTCCCACTAAAACAGAAATTCAACATACATAAGTGAATTCTTCATCCACAAGCTTCTTCCAGAATGCCACCTTCACAATACTGTATATAATATTGACAAGCTGATGAATAAGATACAGATGTTGAGCGTGTCTTAGTCATCAGTGATACTATGGAAATACATACTGCATATTTAGGTCTATTTCCTAGTTTCTTGCAAATAATAAAAGTCAAAACAAATAATGCAATACAATACTGCAGATCTATCCAATTTTTTTTTTAACAAGGCAACAAGATCTGGATAATTCTTTATACCAAATGAAGACAAGCTACGGCTCAGTGCTGCATATTTGCTCATTCAACATGGCGCAGATGCTATCCATGTCTGCTTCCTGCTCTGGATATTGTCACAATGAGCCACACTGGATGAGGAAATGAGTTACAGGTAGTTCATGAGTCAAGACCTGGCCAAACTTGCTCTATGCCAGCCCCTTACTCTGTTTAACTTAACCCACACATCAGATTGTTTTTTACCAAAAACATAACATGCTTTTTTCCACCAAGTGATTGAAGTGTTATAATCACATCAAAGTCTTACTTATTATTTAAGAACCTTCATTCAAATTAAAGACTAATTTTGGAAATGGTGGAACATTTAACTTTCAATACAATTATTCAAATCATTCTTCCTACATCTGAAAATAAAACTTAAACATAAGTTTTCACCTTTTCTTTGAGGAAGGAACAGATTCGATCAACAACAGAAGCAGGAGTCTGGGGTCTAAACTTAGCATAAGCAGCGGCATGAGCTGCACCCTCAAAGAAGCGATTGGCCATAGTCCCTGGACACACCTAGACCTGTATGTTTAGATTAAGTGTATGTAATACTTACATATATACATGTATACAGTATGTATATGCACACAGTATTAAACAAACATCAAACATCAAAATATATATATTTGCTTTAGTTAGATTCACTACATTTATCAATTTTGGTTAAGTACACTCTGCAAAACCTATAACTGCCAGCATGTACAGCATATTGGGTGCAGCACCCATTTTCCAGCACCCTTTGTTCCTAAGCCCTGTTTCTGTATCCCTTCAGAAGTACATGCCAGGAAATACAGTCTTCCTCATAAAAAGTATTTTTGTGGCTAGTATCTCCTGAACAAACAAATAACCATTAAACCTTACCACAGGCGGGGACAGAACCCGGCATTTTTCTCGGGATGTGATAAAAGTGCTTAAAAATTTAAATACGTATAATGAAAGGTTAGTTCAGACCAGCCCCTAAACTAAATATTAACCACAAATTTTTATAGGTTTATGCATCCTAAACTAAGAAAATATCATTTGTCTGATATTTTGACTGGACGAGAAAATTAACAATTTAAAGTAATAAGTTGCTACAGTACTGTAGGTAGCTCTTTAGCTTGGTTGGTAATGTCCTCAGCTCACACACAGTGAAACAGTGGGCATGTTCCCTTACATCTCTTGCCCCAGTTCACCTGGGTGCTAGCTGACTGTTGTGGGTTATATCCTAGGGAACAAGATTAACCTAAGATGCCCAAAGTGCTCTAGATACCAAGGGGCTTTCTATAGAGTATACCAATGTCTGTTAGGTCTGTATCACTTATATCATGTGCTTGTAGAAATAAAGATTATTGTTGTTATTGTTCTTCGTCTTGTTCAGATTTTTAACCTCAGGTGTTACCCATCTAGGATAACCCAGGAAAATCAGTGTGTCAGCGAGGACTCTGTTTTATTTCCACTGGGGTCCTTCACTCTTGTCCCCTAGGATGCAACCCACACCAGATGACTAACACCTGGATACCTACTTTCTTTTAGGTGACTAGGGATAGTAGGTATTAGGAAACATCCCCAACATTTCCACCCATGCCAGGGATTGAACCATGGACACTTAGTGTGTGAGGCAAGAGCACTGTCAACAAAGCATTATGTTATAAGCCTCAGGGCACCAAGGGATACCTATACATGTCTTTATCCTACAAAAATCCTACAAAAATAGCCTGGTTTCAGTACTGGACCAAGCCATGTCACTGCTTTTTGGTGATGAATTAAATTCCATCCCTCATCAGGTTCTTTGTCCCATTTGAGGTCTATATGGAATAATATTCCATGGCCTAGAGAAATGTAAAGGTATGCTCATAAATACCATAAAACCCTGGAAAAAAGTAATGTATTAATATTATTAGTATATTAATGGGGAATTGCTAAACCAACAGGGATCATACAGCCCTTGGGAATGAGATGTAATTAGGGTGTCCTAGGGGCTGGTAGGCAAGGCTCTCGCCTCACACACTGAGTGTTCATGGTTCGATCCCCAGTTGGGTGCAAACATTAGGTGTGTGTCCTTACACCTGCTGTCCCTGTTCACCTAGCAATAAATAGATACCTGGGTATTAGTCAAATTGTGTGGGTTGCATCCTGGGAGCAAGATTAAAGGAACCCAATGGGTTATCCTGGATGGCTAACCCTCCGGGTTAAAAGTCCAAACAAAAATCTTAGGTCTGATCCAAGGGAGGGAAGGGTAGAACCAAGACGTTGGGTCAAAAATCTTCCTCTGACATTGAAGCAACCCCCTTGAATGGACCCTGAAAAATCTATAGGAATGAGGAGACCTCAATGTACATGACAATGTTTGACTACTGGGTTTTCCTAAGTACTGGTCTGGCAATAGAGATGTAGATGAGTGGAACTCTAGGATACCAATGGAAATAAGTCACTTTGTCTGACATTTTTTGGTATATCCTAGAAATTTACAGTGAAAAGCTGTTCCACAAGGCACAGTACTAGCCCCCCATCCTGGTCCTCATCCTCATTCTTGACACATATGTAAGCCACAGCACCGTGGCTTCCTTTGGGGATGACACCCAAATCTGCAAGACAGTGTCCTCCATGGAAGACACTGCAAGACTCCAGGTGGACATCAACCAAAATCTTTAAGTGGGCCGTGAAAAACATGAAGTTCAATGAAGAAAAAAAAATTCAATTACTCCGATACGGAAAACTTGAAGAAATTAAAACTATATCGAAGTATAAAACAAATTCCAACTACACAATTGAGCGAAAAACTATTGTGAAGGACCTAGGAGTGATAATGTCAGAGGATCTCACTTTCAAAGCTAACAATGTATCTACATCTGCTAGGAAAATGATATGATGGATAATGAGAACCTTCAAAACTATGGATGCCAAGCCCATAATGATTCTCTCCAAATAGCTTGTTCTCTCCTATGTTCATTTAATATCACATACCTGCAAGAAGCTCATTGCTAGTAATCCCTTCCTTATATCTCTTGTTAGAGCAACTGCTCAAGAATAAATTTCTCACCTAGCTGGTAGTAATAAGTTATCACAAGTTATATACACTGATGGATCTAAACAGGAGTCTTCTGGCAGGGCTGCATCTGCTCTTGTTGCCACCTCCCTTGTTAAAAACGATAATAAATTTGTTGAGTTAGGCATAAGAATTAACAACTGGGCGTCTACACTGCAAACTGAATTGTTTGCAATCCTAATGGTGCTAAAGCTAACCTATGACACTGAGCTTGACTCTATCATCATTACTAATTCTATGTCATCATTGAAGGCTCTTGACTCATATAATGACTCCAATAACATGCTCATTGGAGAAGCCAGGTATAGATACTCAAAAATTAGGGACAAAGGAATTAATGTACAATTGCTATGGATCCCATCACACATTGGATTACTCCTTCATGATAAAGTTGATATGTTAGCCAAGAAGAGTACCCAGAAGGAGAATGTAGAATATAACTTTAGTATAACTGTGTCTAGCATTAGGAATAATATTAGGAGAGAAGTAAATAATGAAAATGATTGTTATAGGAATGCAGTTAGAAGCCTGAGTAGATCTATAACCCATTATGATAACATGAACGTAGATAAATATGTTTATGGAGCAACTTGCAATGTGAACAGACTGACTAATGTTGTAATAATAATAATAATAATAATATCTTTATTTACTACAAGTACATGTACAAGGTATACAGTCCTAGCTGACAACAATGACATACTACTATATAGAAACTCCCTTGTTATGCTCTGCATTTCGGGCAAATTAGGTCAGTGTCCCAGGATGCGACCCACACCAGTCGACTAACACCCAGGTACCCATTTTACTGATGGGGAACATAGACAACAGGTGGAAAGAAACACGTCCAATGTTTCTACTCTGGCTGGGAATCGAACCCAGACCCTCGCCGTGGGAAGCGAGAGCGTTAACCACCAGGCCACCAGAGCTCAGGCTTGGTTACAAGTACTTCTGGCAGTTTGGGAGACACACAGATGATGATCAAACTAAATGTAAATTATGTGATCAGGCATATGGTCACTGTCTTGATCAGCCGGGCTGTGGCTCGTACGTTGGTTTGCGTGCAGCCAGCAGCAACAGCCTGGTTGATCAGGCGCTGATCCACCAGGAGGCCTGGTCACAGACCGGGCCGCGGGGGCGTTGACCCCCGAAACTCTCTCCAGGTAAACTCCAGGTAAACACTATGTGCTTAATTGTCCACTTATTGAGGAATACAGAGATAGACAGTATAATAACCTATGTGACATGTCAAGATATCTTATTAATGAAAATAAGATACCAGATATACTAAGCAAATTTCGGGGGCGTTGACCCCCGAAGCCCTCTCCAGGTATACTCCAGAGTATGTATGATAATTGTACTTATGTGTACCTGTGCCTAAATAAACTTACAATAGTGGATGTGGGGTGGATGCGAGTTCGACTTACCTAGCATGGGCCAGTAGGCCTTCAGCAGTGTAACTTCTCGTGTTTTTAAGTTACGTTTAGGCTTTTCTAGGTTAGGGTAGGTGGATTTAGTGAAGTTTGTGTTTGGTTTGGCTAAGCTTTTTATCAAATATTTATACTACAAAGTACCATCTCTACTGTTAAAAATATTTTAATACTGAAACTGTAATTAATGGGCGAATTTTAACGAGTAGAAACCGTAAACTGTTGCATGATTTATTAAATCAAATCATTGCAAAAGTTTCAAATTATGAGGCCTAAATAAAAACTTACAATGGCTATAGGGATGTGTTGTGTTGTCACATGTGGACCAAGTCTACTGTGGTGCCCTCTGTAATAATTATCTTGTGATTACACAGCCATGGTTATCAGTCATGTCTTTAAGTCTGATCATATCTGAAGCACTTCTCGTGGTTCAGTTGGTAACGTCACCTCACCTCACACTCTGAGAGTGAATAATGAATAAAAGAATAAAGATTATATTTCTTTGTAAAGGTTACAATGTGTAATTACAACTTTGGTTTGCTAAGTACAAAGAAAGTCACTATCATGCCGGGGCATTTCGGTTCGATTCCCGTTACGAGTGGACACGTCGAACATGTTTCAGAAACTTTATTTAAGCACAAATACATTTATCATATAATGTAAATTACTTAAGATAACCCCTGGCGCTGTATAGCCCTTGTGGCTTAGCGCTTCTTTTTGATTATAATAATTAAGATAACCCCCAAAAAAAGTCAGACACCTGCTGCCCCTCTTCACCTAGCTGGCCAGAAATGCTCTGCATAACCATGGGCTTTCTACATGTGTGATCAAGTTCATCCATTTCCATAGAAACAATGTATCATGTGGAAATAAATTTTTGAACTCTGAATTTGAATTTTGAGCAGTATATACTTGGGAGTTAGGCGATTTGTGTACGTAGCATCCTGCGAGGAGAGGATTTAAAGCCTCCCTCTGGAAATACCTGACCTCATGTATGGTATCTGTACCTGGGGATCTACCAAAGCAAATCATTCAAAATCAAAAATAATTCAACAAAAAAAAGAGAGGGTGAAAGAGCGATCTTATCACCCAATTTTGTACTAGACAACGCCCCGTCTTCAAAAATTTTATATTTACTCAATATACATATTGTTCACTGATACTACTGTGCATGCTATATTTACAGGAGAGTCAAACCAAATATAAACCCTCCTCTGAAACTTTTCCGTGATGGTTGCAACGGAACTCATAGACATGATACAAGACACAAATCTCATTGATATCCCCCGTTTGACTTAATCTGCACAAAAACTAAATGCGTATAAACGGCCCTAAAATCTGGAATTCTCTGCCTGAAAATTCTATTCCATAAGTTCTTTATCTGCCAACCACTACAACGCTACTGTTAAAAAGCACCTCCTTATGTGTGACCTTGACAGAAATATCGTATGATAAAACAGCCACTGACTTTTTTTTAAGTTATCCTACGAAATTTACACTATGTATTATAACTACATATGTGTACCTGTGCATAAATAAACTTACTAACTTAACCTGCTGGAAGTTTTTAGTTTAATATGTTTATTATGCACCCCATATCCATCCTGTGGGCGGTAGTCAAAAGATTACAGAGGTGCTGGAAATAAGTTACTTTGACATTTTTGGGTTATCCTGGGTAATCTACACATGCTGCAAGTACCACTTATTCTGCTTAACTAGGCAGTTATATTTTCATATTCTCATTTTTTTTATGAATTAACCTGTAATTTGTCTCTATATTTAAGGTCCTACTAATATTGTGTACTATATCCTCCAAGAAAAAATAAAAATGAAAAATAAAATACAACCGATACCCTCCGTATAACCAGGGGTTTTCTATAAACTATGTCAATAATGTCACTTATTCCTATTTATTTGTGAATTATGCTTGTAGAAATAAAGTTGACCATTTATCATTACTGAGTTACCCTGAGGTACTGACCCTCAGGGTTAATTATCCGAACAATATCTTTCCGAGCGTCTTGTTGGGGGTTTTAAGGGCCGTTGACAGCTTACGCCTTATGAAACACAACCCGCACGTAGAAAAGAAGAGCTTACGACGACGTTTCGGTCCGACTTGGACCATTTACGTCGTCGTAAGATCCTCTCTTCTATGTGCGGGTTATTTCTGTATCGTTCCAGTCACGGTATTGTGCCTTTTTTGTTATTTACGCCTTATAAAGCTCGTTAGTTTAATATCTTCATTATGCACCCCATACCCATCCTGTGGGCGGTAGTCAAAAGATTACAGAGGTACATAATGGGTCCAGGGACTGGGCCTCTAAGTTTTGATAGCTGAGCAAGTTACAAAGGTAATGAACTCACAATTTACAAAGGTAATGAAGTCACAATTTACAAAGGTAATGAACTCCAGGTAGGTCTGGTCACAATCATGACAAGTTACAAAGGTATTTACAGATTACAGAGGTACGTAATGGGTCCAGGGACTGGCCCCCCAAAGTTTTGATAGCTGAACTAGGTACAAAGGTAATGAACTCACAAGTTACAAAGGTAATGAATCCTGTAAGAATGGTTACTTACGTTTATACATGGCTACAATCATGAACAAATTATAGAGTACTGAGCAATTCACACTTCCACACCCGGTCACAACTGTAATGAGTTATTGGTGCAAATATTGATTGAGTCACACACACACACACACACACACACACACACACACACACACACACACACACACAGCAAGGAGGCTGAGGAGAGGTTTGTACCCAAGGGTAACAGGCATAATGAAAAAGCCAGGATGAGCCCATGGTTTACCCAAAGGTGCAGGGAGGCAAAAACCAAGTGTGCTAGGGAATGGAAGAAATATAGAAGGCAAAGGACCCAGGAGAATAAGGAGAACAGTCGTAGAGCCAGAAACGAGTATGCACAGATAAGAAGGGAGGCCCAAAGACAATATGAAAATGACATAGCAGCGAAAGCCAAATCTGACCCGAAACTGTTGTACAGCCACATCAGGAGGAAAACAACAGTCAAGGACCAGGTAATCAGGCTAAGGAAGGAAGGAGGAGAGACAACAAGAAATGACCGTGAAGTATGTAAAGAACTCAACAAGAGATTCAAAGAAGTGTTCACAGAGGAGACAGAAGGGACTCCAGAAAGACGGAGAGGTGGGGCACACCACCAAGTGCTGGACACAGTGCACACAACCGAGGAAGAAGTGAAGAGGCTTCTGAGCGAGCTAGATACCTCAAAGGCAATGGGAGCAGAGGCGCTATGTGTACCCCTAACAACAATATTCAATACATCTATCGAAACAGGGAGATTGCCTGAGGCATGGAAGACAGCAAATGTAGTCCCAATCTTTAAAAAAGGAGACAGACATGAAGCATTAAACTACAGACCAGTGTCACTGACATGTATAGTATGCAAAATCATGGAGAAGATTATCAGGAGAAGAGTGGTGGAACACCTAGAAAGGAACGATCTCATCAACAGCAGCCAACATGGTTTCAGGGACGGGAAATCCTGTGTCACAAACCTACTGAGTTCTATGACATGGTGACAGCAGTAAGACAAGAGAGAGAGGGGTGGGTGGATTGCATTTTCTTGGACTGCAAGAAGGCGTTTGACACAGTTCCACACAAGAGATTGGTGCAAAAACTGGAGGACCAAGCAGGGATAACAGGGAAGGCACTACAATGGATCAGGGAATACTTGTCAGGAAGACAGCAGCGAGTCATGGTACGTGGCGAGGTGTCAGAGTGGGCACCTGTGACCAGCGGGGTCCCGCAGGGGTCAGTCCTAGGACCAGTGCTGTTTCTGGTATTTGTGAACGACATGACGGAAGGAATAGACTCTGAGGTGTCCCTGTTTGCAGATGACGTGAAGTTGATGAGAAGAATTCACTCGATCGAAGACCAGGCAGAACTACAAAGGGATCTGGACAGGCTGCAGACCTGGTCCAGCAATTGGCTCCTGGAGTTCAATCCCACCAAGTGCAAAGTCATGAAGATTGGGGAAGGGCAAAGAAGGCCGCAGACGGAGTACAGTCTAGGGGTTCAGAGACTACAAACCTCACTCAAGGAAAAAGATCTTGGGGTGAGTATAACACCAGGCACATCTCCTGAAGCGCACATCAACCAAATAACTGCTGCAGCATATGGGCGCCTAGCAAACCTCAGAACAGCATTCCGACATCTTAATAAGGAATCATTCAGGACCCTGTACACCGTGTACGTTAGGCCCATATTGGAGTATGCGGCACCAGTTTGGAACCCACACCTAGCCAAGCACGTGAAGAAACTAGAGAAAGTGCAAAGGTTTGCAACAAGACTAGTCCCAGAGCTAAGAGGTATGTCCTACGAGGAGAGGTTAAGGGAAATCAACCTGACGACACTGGAGGACAGGAGAGATAGGGGGGACATGATAACGACATACAAAATACTGAGAGGAATTGACAAGGTGGACAAAGACAGGATGTTCCAGAGATTGGACACAGTAACAAGGGGACACAGTTGGAAGCTGAAGACACAGATGAATCACAGGGATGTTAGGAAGTATTTCTTCAGCCACAGAGTAGTCAGTAAGTGGAATAGTTTGGGAAGCGATGTAGTGGAGGCAGGATCCATACATAGCTTTAAGCAGAGGTATGATAAAGCTCACGGCTCAGGGAGAGTGACCTAGTAGCGATCAGTGAAGAGGCGGGGCCAGGAGCTCGGACTCGACCCCTGCCACCTCAACTAGGTGAGTACAACTAGGTGAGTACACACACACACACACACACACACGTGATAATGCTTTATTTACAGCTAACAAAGTCAGGGTATTTCTCCAGAATGGTGTGTAATATACCACTGTGGATAAAATACTTTGCCATTTCTTGAACATTTCTGAGTGAGTTGTCTCTAAATTCATTAATTTGATCGCACTCCAGTACATAATGACGCAATGTGTGACAATAGTCCATCTGGCAAAGTTTACATTTCGTTTGGTCTACATCTGGTGGTGGTGATTTAACCTGCCAAAGATACTTGTAACCCAGCCGGAGTCGGGCAGTAGTGACATCCAAGAGTCTGCTTATCTTGTTGGATGCACCATAGACATGTGGTTCCTCCTGCATGATAGAATGATGATAGATGGACTCACTGGTGTCAATCTCCCTGAGTCTTAAGTCAATAAAATTCAGTTGTAGTTCTTTTCTTATTATTGTTCGCAAACTGCTAACTGACAAGCCAAGATTGCAATCTACCCCCTCTTTGAGAGCATACAGCTTAGCCAATTTATCAGTTTTATCATGCATCTGAAGACCAATGTGAGATGGAATCCACAGCATGTGCACTCTGACTCCACTGTCCACAATCTTACCATACCTGTGTCTGACTTCTGACACAAGCATGCCACGATTTATACTTAATGAGTTGAGAGCATTTATGGATGACAGAATCAGTTACAATTAAAGTGTCAATCTTAGATACATGGACACATTTGAGTGCAAGGAGTATGGCAAACAGTTTTGTCTGAAGGGTAGAGGCCCAATTATTAATGCGTGCTCCAATTTCTTTTAGAGAGCCATCACTCTGTATGACAACAGCAGCACTACCAGCTGCACCAGTGGATTGGTGAACAGAACCATCAACGTAAATAATTTGCGAGAGTGTGTGCTGTGTGACTAAGTTATCAATACAGCTTAAGGCATCATGTTTGGCTTCAAG